TTTGGTTGAGGTTATTGCTGCCAAAGGAGGGTCAACGAGTTATTAAGTCCAAAGGTTCACATACTTTTTCCTCCCTGCACTGTGAATGTTTACATGTTATGTGCAATTAAACCATGGCAACATCTAATGTTTGTGTAGTATTATGTTCAGCAGACTGTGTTCTTCTATTGTTGTGACTTAGATGACGTTCAGAGCACATTTTATGCACAATTCATGCAAAACTCCACGTAATCCCAAGGGGTTCACATACTTTTTCTTGCAACTGTATATAGCGCCAACAGTTCGCTCAGCGCTGTACATTACAATGGGAGACAATACATGAGACAGTACAATAACAATACAATGCGATACACAAGGGGTTCGAGGGCCCTGCTCCTTGGAGCTTACAATCTAGGAGGGAGGGGATAGTGGTACAGGAGGAGATAGCTGTGGGGGATGGAGTGGTAGGAAGAGTGGAAGAAATCGGCAATTAGCAGAGGGCGGGGTAGGCTTCCCTGAAGAGGTTGGTTTTCAGGGTGCGCCTAAAGGAGAGGAGAGTAGGTGATAGTCTGATGGATTGGGGTAAGGATTTCCAGAGGATGGGTGATGCCCTGGAGAAGTCCTGAAGGCAGGCATGGAAGGAGGAGACCAGAGAACTAGAGAGAAGGAGGTCTTGTGAGGAGCGGAGAGTGCGTGTTGGGTGGTACTTGGATATTAGGTCGGTGATGTAGTTTGGGGCAGTATGGTGGACAGCTTTGTACGTCAGTGTTAGGATTTTGAATTTGATTCGTTGGGCAATTGGAAGCCAGTGGAGGGATTGGCAGAGGGGGGTGGTGGAAACGGAGCGGTTGGTGAGGTGGATGAGTCTGGCTGCCGTATTCAGGATGGACTGAAGCGGGGATAGCCAGCGGTGAGGCAGGCCAGTGAGGAGAGAGTTACAGTAATCGAATTGTGATATGACGAGGGAGTGGATGAGTTGCTTAGTGGTTTCTGGGGTTAGGAATGGGCGTATTTTGGGGATGTTGCAGAGATGGAGTCTGCATGAGTTTGTTAGCGATTGGACTTGGGGCTGGAAGGATAGATTGGAGTCTAGAATGACACCAAGTACTTTATATACAGTAGTCCTCAAGAGTACCACACCCTATTTAGGCTTTATGTAGGCCCAGTTTGAGAAGCAGAACCTAAAAAAAAAGGAAAAAAAAAAGAGGAATTAAATAATGTAAGCGGCACATGACTGAGGGGAGGAATAGTTCCAAAAAAGACTTAAAATGTAAGAGGGCAATGAAGGTGCAAAAGGCCTTTCCTGATGAAGTGGGTGAGAGACTAAAGTTTCTTGTACATCAATTGGCTACGATTATAGGAACACTTGTCACTGCAGCATAGGGGGTCTGTGGGATGGTGGGATAGTTAAAAAATTTGGCACCCATCTGGTGATATGGTGCATCCCTTTTTGGTATTGTTTGTCTTTACCATGCCTCTGTCTCTTGGAAAGGCAGAAATTGATCAATTTGCAGCTGTTATCAGGCCAGTGACGGGCTGCTGGTGACAGAATGGGATCACGGTCATGTCTTTAGGCTAGATGATACCAAATGAGAAAGAGAAAATAGGTCTGAAGAAGAAGCTAGGCTTCGAAACGCGCTACTGCCCCGTTTCATGTCATCACACACTGACTGACGTCACTACCACTCCAGCGCCATTTGCGTTGCAGGCTGGTTCCTTCATCGTGGCCGATCACTTCCTGTGGCTCAGAGGACCTGCTCTCAGCCACCATCCGGGCGCCCAGACTCGCGGTGCCACATACCGGCTCCTGGATCCTTCAGGACCCTGTACGAGGGTGACATGCCTTTTATCAACTTATGTCTAGTGAGTGGCTAATAAGCACAATCCCTCTCCCCCTTATTTTCCCTGGCTATAAAGTGGACTTTAGTTATAGACTTGCTATTGAACTTTTAATTGGATTTTTATTGGACTTTTAAGTTACTTTAGCTATACCCCTCCAGCACCAAAATACCTATATTTTTTTTATATAATAACAAATACCTCCTCTTAGAATCCAACTTTTGTCATGTTCTTTTATATTTTTTTTTTGTTTTGATTAATTAATAAATCATTTTTTTCCCCATTGTGGTTAAGTAAAGGGCTGCTGTGGCCATTTCAAATCCAAGGCATGTGGTCTGTGTATTTATTGGGGGTTCACAGGGGGAGGGGAGGTACAAAATTCATGAATCCGCCATTCATGGTATTTTGACAGTAGTTGTCACTAAGATAAAATATTAGGCTGACCGGCCTATAGTTCCTCAGTATATTTCTTGGCCATCACGTTTTTTTTTAATATATTTTTTGCCAGTCTGCTGGTACCATTCCAATCAGTAAGCTATCCTTAAAAATTTGAAAAAATGGTCTGTGTATAACATGGCTAAGTTCTTTGAGAACCCTCTGGTGTAAGCCATCTGGTCCTAGTGATTTATTTAACATTTGGTTTTTCTTTCTTTTTTTTTTTTTTTTTTTTTTTTTTTTTACGTGGGTTCATTCAATATAATGTTATTAAGCTCCAAGGATCAGGGCCCTCCTATCCCTCTTGTATTGAACTGTATTGTTGCTGTATTGTCTCCCTTTATATTATAAAGCGCTGAGCAAACTGTTGGCGCTATATAAATCCTGTATTATAATAATAATTAACATTATTATAACCCTCATTTTCATTTGTACAAACTGAGGGGAAGTCCTAGTGACAAAATAACATTTTCAAATTCACTTTTTTACCGAGTGACAGTGGTTCCCAGAAAAAACATGGAGGTTAGAGCTCAACAGGGACACAGACAGCAAGAAAAGACAGAAATTCTAACCCTTTTCCACTCTTTCAAAAACTAGAAAAAAAAATGGCCGGAATTATACTGTTTTTTTTTTAATCAGATCCCATTTTTGAAAATAAAGTATTTTAGTATGACAATTGGTAACGTATATAAACATACATACAAACTGATCATAATAGAAAAATGCAGACGAGCCAGCAAAGAAAATGCAGTCTGCATTAGGATAAACAAAGTAAATACACTAAATACACACTTGCCTTCAAAGTACACACCAACCATAGGAATCACAAAGAGCATTTATGAGAGAGGAATTATGACACAAAAGAGGAGATTATGACACAAAAGAGGAGATTGAAGATAAAATCTTAGTATCATAGGTAACAACCGTATTCAGTGTATATCTACCAATAAATGTAGGCTATGGAACACCTGAAGAATTAAGAGTTAAGAGGAATCGCAATTCTACATCCCCCCCCCCCCCCCCCAACTGCTAAGTCCAATCACTGAGACTACATTAAGATAAATTTAGTGGGAGTTCACATTTTCCACATCATTTTTTTCATAGGAGAAAAATGTACTAAATTCAATTATCCAATCTCCAACCATTATAGGCTTTGCTAAAAGTGATCTAAAAATTCCTAGAGCAATCTAAAAATTGCTAGAGCATTTTTTTTTCGGTTCCAGCACTAAAAGTATGCAAAATCCAGAGCCACCCCAGGACTGAAATATTAAATATGTAAATGTTACTTATCAATAGGAAACCAGAGCCTGGGATCATGCACACAACTGCTCTGGAGAAAATAACATCAGAAGCCTTTCATCAGGTCAGAGTCTCCCATTCTCACCAGAGACCTTCCTATACATGACAGCCCTCTATACTGCATATGAGAGTCCTTATCTTAGAGTCCTCTTATCACATCAGAGCCCCCCATCACATAAAGCCCCCCAGTCACACACAGCCCCCCCCCCCCCAACCACACAGAGCCCTCCAATCACATAGCTCCCCATCACAGAGACCACCAATCACACAGTACCCCATCTAAGAGTCTTCCATTTACACAGTCCCCCTACCTTTTGGCTCCCGAAGCAGGGCAGAGGGTGGAAAGTGGAGCACATCTGCTATTATTATTTATTTTTATTTCAGGTACTTATATAGTGCCGTCAATTTACACAGAGCTTTACATATAAATTGTACATTCACATCAGTCCCTAACCCTCAAGGGGTGTACAATCTAAGGTCCCTAACTTACATTCATACATACACATACTAGGGACAATTTAGACAGGATCCAATTAACCTACCAGCATGTCTTTGGAGTGTGGGAGGAAACCGGAGTACCCAGAGGAAACCCACACAGGCACAGGGACAACATGCAAACTCCAGGCAGGTGGTGCCGTGGTTGGGATTCGAACCAATGACCATAGTACTGCCAGACGAAAGTGCTAACCATTTAGCCACTGTGCTGCCCATGTATTCCATCCTCTCCTATATGTCGGGGGCAGGCCTGCATACAATCTGCCCTGGATCAGCATCATGCATTGCCATGGTACAGGCATGTTGGCTACCAAAACCATGACAATGAATGACACAGAGTGTTGTAGCACTAAAGTGTCATTGGATGCTATGGTGCTGGAGGCCAGCCACCTCACACCATAGCACCTCATGATGCTATTCTAAGACTGGATTCACATATAATTGGATGCATTGTGAACCACATCTAATTTGCATGGCATTTGAACTGGCAGCCTTCTCTATGGAGCTGGTTCACATATCTGCAGGCCGGCCGCAGTGCATTCTTAAAAAGAGTCCTGTGTGTTTTTCAGTCTGGTTCAGGTGTGATTTCAAGTAAAAATTTGCACCTGAACCGATGAAAAAAGAAACACACCAGACTCCTTTTAAAAATCGCAATGAAACCTCCGCCAAACATATGTGAATTGAGCCTAAGACAAACTTGGTCCTTCGCTTGCAGCACACCCTGGAGAGCCCAAATGGCAAACACTGTGTATGCGTATCTAAGGCAGATGTTTTAAAGTGATCCCAAATGCATGCTGGGGTTCTTCTTTAAAATTAAAAGTGTACTATCCTGCTTCTCTCCTTGCCTAGACCTTAACTCCCCTATCGCCAATCCAGCAAGTTTTCAGCTTTTTGGCCTCCTGGGTTCTCCTTTTCAAAAATCTTTTCAGCCAGACCTGTGCATGAATGCTGACCAGGGGTGGACTGACCATTTGGAAACTCGGACACTGCCCGAGGGCCCGGGGTCAGTAGGGGGCCCCATTAGATGCCCCTGGTACCTTTTTCATAGGCATTTTTGAGTTTGGGTAAGGACACAGGGGCCCCATGATCCCCTGTTGCCTGGGGGCCCCAAGAGTTGTCAGTCCGCCCCTGATGCTGACTGTCCATTCATTTCCATGGAAAAGTCATCCTCCAAATGGAGTTTGAAGTATAAGCTCTCCATAGGATTGAAGAGGGATTTTAGTTCCGGGATCTTGCTGGATCGGGAATGGGTGAGTAAAAGACTGGGGGGACTGGGGATGAACGTATATTAAAAAAAAAAAATGTGTAATGGGTTATCATGTCTTTACCAAGGTATTAATATAAAAACTAAACACCAGACAAACCCCAAACTTAGTTTTGGATGGCATGAAGAAGAGTAGAACCTCTTAAAAGTATTAATACTGTTTTTTTTCTTTGTTGAAAGACTTTGGCGCACCTCTTGTGCTTGTGAGGGTAATGATTGTGTTGCATCAATACAGATCTGACAGAAGTTCTAACACTTCTCCATCCTACCCATCACTAAAAGAAATGTTTTGGCTGGAGGTTTTACTTTAATGACACCTCAGTATTAGCGATCATGTATAACAGTTTTATGAGTTGTTTAAGGAGATTGCATTTACTCCCGCAGGCCATTCATTCTGCTGCCGCCCCTCATGGAATGGATGCGTGTAGCTATCACATACGCTGAACACCGCCGCAGCCTGACCGTAGATGCCGATGACATCCGCCAGACCGCCAGACTGCTCCTCCCTGGTCTGGACTGTGAACCGCGACAGCTCAAGTAAGTGACAGCAGAGTCAGGCTTCATACTGATGGCTGGAGGCATCTCTAAAGATACTCATAGACGTGAGATTTTTATTTCCAGATCTGGCCAGTTAGGGTGTGAGCTGGATGTCTATGCATCATGCACATAGCAGTGAAAGCAATTCCTATGTCTGTCATTTCTTTTATGTATTTATCCGTCTGACTGGGGTTGCCTTTCAAGGCTAAGTTGACCTTTTTAAGCCAAGTGGCCCCAGTAGATTAAAAATCTATGCAGCTTTGTAAAATGATCTTTTTATTGCTTTACCTGTAGACCATTTAAATCCCCTGAGAAGCCTGGCTAGAAAACACTAGTTAGCAATCCCCACATCCTGCCTTATTGCAAGGATTCGAAAACCATCAGTTTAGGCAGGACATGGAGGTTGGGTTGCTAACTAGCAGTTTTGTAGGCAGGCTTCAGAAGGAAAGCCAAATGGTCTACAGGTAAAACATTAAAATTTGTGGTCATTTTACAAACTGCACAGATTTTTAAAATCTACTGGGGCCTCTTGACTGTATATATATACTAGAGGCTATTTTTGGAAAAGGTGAACATAGTCTTTAAAGCCTAACTTCAGAATTTTTTTTTTTGCTTTGGATAGAGTGGGGAAGTTAAAATAGAATTAGTATTTCTGTCTTGTGACCCCATTGGGGGGAATTTCCCTCACTTCCTTTTCCTGTGACACCTGTAATAGAAATAGAGACAGTAGTTGTCACTGGGAAGGCAAGGACAGCATTAAAAGCATTGTCAAAAGTCCTTCCAACCCTCCCCCACTCTTCTAAAAATCTGTTATTGCCCATGCTCCCATGGAAAAGATATATGTGTTAAGTTGCTAAATTATTCATAATATAAAAAAATTAAAAAAAACAGCAAGGATGATGCAGCCCCTCACAATGAGCACAGCAAGGGTGCAGAACTGGGAATGGGTGTGCAGAGATCTCACCAATGGAGTCTCTGAGATATAGAAGAAGCTGTCACGTGGTAAAAACGGAAATATCTATTTTGGGTGGGCTGACTCTTTAAATAGTAACATTCACATGCCTTATTGGTAAGCTTTATTTGACATTTGTTGGATCACATGACCTGATCAGACAGGATCAAGAAAAGTTAAAAGTTATACATAGATCTTTTTCTATACATGTTAGGCAGGATAGGTAGGAGAAAGGAACATTTGGTGACCCCTGCTTGCCAAAGAGGATGGGGTCACCAGAAGATTCTACATGCATGCCACACTGACAGTATCTCCATCCTTACCTACTATCCCTCTTTAGTCTCCCTTTGGAATTCCCTTGTTGTCTTTTATAGGCCGGAGTGTTGCTTTAGCTCCCTCAGACGCCTGGACGCCGGAGCAGCCGCTGAACGCTTTCAACAGGACCTGGGATTCCGAATGCTGAACTGCGGCCGAACTGACCTGATTCCTCAGGCGGTACGAGCACTGGGGTCTGACGGAATAAACACCATGGATGATCAGGTGAGGGTGTGTTTTGTGTAGATCCACCATAAATGTTCCAGAATGATGATAGAATTGTGAGAGGTGATCCAACGTGAGTGATTTGATTAAAAAAATAGCAGTAAAGCTGTTCAACTTTCAATAGAGTTTCCTGGTACAAGAAAAATCCACCTGCTCCCTCTTACGCATTTCACTCTATCTGGAGCTTAGTCATAGATTCATTCTGGATGGAGTAAAACTGGTAAACACGTTTTCTCATAGAGGGTAAAAAACCCACTTCAGACTCTCAGAAGTTAAGTAGCTCCACTTCTATTTCTTGCATTAGAACTATCAGCTGGTCATGGACTGTTTGGCATTGGCATCCTTCTATTGGTTCAACAGGAGTGAGAAACCTAGAGCAGAGTATTCTGTGATTGTCTGCAATGGATGATGTGATGTCAGCATAGAATAACAACTGTCCAAAAGTATTACTTCAGTTGCAGATGAAGTCTAGGTTGGCTTCCATTCTCACCGTGCATCCCTGTTTGCCTACACAGTATGCAGGGAGCATAAATATATTAGAGTGGGAAGATTAAACTTTCCAGCACCACTGCAAATAGTCCATTTTGGTCAGACTAACTAAAGCTGTCCAGTACTGAGAGAAATTTGGAGGCTGATGATGTCTTTCTTGAGAAAGTTAGTTGCTTGGCCGTCTTTAAGTGGCTGTCCCAGAACAATGTTAGAACCAGGGGTGGACTGACCATTCGAGCACTCGGGCAGTGCCCAAGGGCCCGGGGTCAGTAGGGGGCCCCATGAAATGCCCCTTTTACCTTTTTTTATAGGCTTTTTTGAGTGTGGGCAAGGACACAGGGGCCCCATGATCCCCTATTGCCTGGGGGCCCCATGAGTTGTCAGTCCACCCCTGGTTAGAACTTAGTCTCCTTGCACCCAGTGCAGTGGGTCCAGAAGTAGTAAGGCCAAAGTATCAACCTGACAACCAGGCAACTAAAAAAAATAGCAGCCAACACATTTGTTGCACCCTCCTAGTTAGGTTGTTAATTAGCTAGGCAAATTTAGTTCTATATCTCTGCTGTAATCAGTTGAGCTTCTTTTGATTGTTTTGGGCTGTTCTGTGTCTCACGGGTTGCTGGTTTGACTGCTTCACCCTGCTTTCTGGAGAGTTCTGGATAATAGTGGTCCGGGAGAGTCAAACTAGCAGCCTGAATATTTATGTGGTTCCTTCCTGGGGAAAGGGGCCCAGATGGTGGCTGGGAGGGAGCATAACAATTTTTGGGCCTAGAACAGAGGGGTTCTTGTTCGTTCAGAAGGAGGAGATCCCAGCCTGAAGGACTGCTGCTCTTCTGGGCAGTCCAGCTGTGCTTTCTACCACTCATCAGGGTCCCAGCTGGGAGGGCTGTTACACTGAACTCTGCTGGAGCTGACTAAAGGATTTCTTTTTTGGGGATCTGGTCTGAAGGGCTCACAGGAGAGGTGTCTGGAAGATATTGGAAGGAGGCTGGAAGATATTGGAAGGAGGCATCCAACTATAAAAGGATATTAGTGAGTACAGACTGCTATGTGAGTTCCCAGTGACTATCCCTCTTGCATCAGAGTCAACTTGTACTTAAAGTGGTTGTAAAGGCTGAAGGTTTTTTTACCTTCGTGCATTCTATGCATAAAGGTACAAAAAAACGTTCTGTGTGCTGCTCTCCGCACTGCCCCATCAATACTCACCTGAGACCCATCTCAATCCAGCAATGCGCATGGGAGTCTCGGCGCAGCTCTGGGAGCCATTGGTTCCCACTGCTGTCAATCACAGCCAGTGAGCCAATAAGGAGAGAGTGGGGGCAGGGCTGAGCCACAGCTCTTTGTGTCTTGTGGACGCATAGAGTGATGCTTGGGAGCGAGCATGCAACAGTGCCCCCACAGCAAGCATTTTGCTATTGAAGACACTGGTCAAGGGGTAGGAACCAGTAGTGGCGGCAGGGGACCCGAGAGAAGAAGAGGATTGGGGCTGCTCTGTGCAAAACCAGGTAAGTATGACTTATTTACAAAAAAAACAAAACAAGTAACATTTATCCTCATACCCACCGCCGTATAGAAGATATTCTGCTACACGGCGGCACGGGTGTGCAAAATCACGTATATATACGTGATTTTGCAATTCCAGGTAGGGGCATCCTACCTGCGCCGCCATTCGCAGCCATGGATGTCAATCACCAGGTCCTGCCCGGTGATTACCCACCAGCGCCCAGTGACTACTGTCAATCACCGAGCACACTACTCGGGCACACTGCTTGGATGGCTGTGCACAGCATAGCCATCCTGATCAGTGTTCTTACAGTGAAGCACCCCCCCCCTGCCCCCCCCCCCCCAGTGTCTATACCGCCATTTGTAGACGCTATAACTTTCACGTAAACCATTTAATTTACAAGCATTGGGATTTTTTTTAGCAAAGACATGAAGGAGAATACATTTTACATTTTTTTACTGGACATGTTTAATAGCAAAAAGTCCAAAATATTGTTTTTTTTTTTCTCAACATTGTGTGTCTTTTTTTGCTTATAGCGCAAAAAAAAAAAAACAAATCGCAAAAATAAAAACCACACAGGCAATCAAATACCACCGAAAGAAAGCTCAATTTGTGGGTAAAAAAGGAAGTAAATTTCATCTGGGTGCGGCGTTGCATGACCTCGCAATTGTCAGTTAAAGTAACGCAGCACCGTTACGCAAAAAATGGCCTGTTCAGGGGGGGGGGGGGGGGGGGGGGGGGGGGGAAATCCTCTGGAGGGGCAAGTGGTTAATATCACTTTATCACTTTAATGGTGGACATTGCTCATGGTGTTCCTGCTTAGCTCAGCCCATTATTTTCCACTGCAAGGTCTGTGTTCAGAATCTTAAAGAGGAAGATAGATGTCCTCAAGTTACTACTTAACGTTGCTGGAGTATCCCATGCAGGGGCGGACTGACCATTTGGAAACTTGGGCACTGCCTGATGGCCCGGGGTCAGTTGGGGGCCCCATGAGATGCCCCTGGTACCTTTTTCATAGGCTTTTTTGAGTTTGGGCAAGGAAACAGGGGTCCCATGATCCCCTATTGCCTGGGGGCCCCATGAGTTGTCAGTCCGCCCCTGATCCCATGGCTACCCTGCACCCATCCAAGTTCAAGTTTTTGCAATAAAGCATCAAAGTAAGAATTCCCTTGGACTGATCATTGAGCCGGAGGAGTGATTGAGACTGTGTGCCAGCTGCTGAAGCATCTACTAGGGAAGGAACGTTGGGACCAACGATCAGCGGGCCCTCTAGGGGGTGAGCACTACATTATCTGAGTGAGTTTCCATCGAACCATCTTGGCCAGTCATAATAGACAAAATACATTTTCACATTAATTTTTCTCTCCACCTATATATGCCTGGCTGCTGCCGGGATAAAAACGACTAGTAAATGTAATGTAAAACGTTTTTTAGGAGGATTTTTTTTTCTACTGGCTCAAGAAACATCACGGGCTGACTGTGAAAAATCTATTTTGGCAGCAGCTCTGTGCAGTCCTATGTGGGATCATATGACTGGCGTACCTGGACAGTGAACAGACAGCTCTATTTTGGTTTAAAAAGATGTTTTGTCTAACTGAACAGCAAGATAATACTTTAAAAATGCACGCTGATTAGGGAGCATCTGTCATTAAAGAGACCCTGTCATCAACCTAAACATTTGTAAGTTAAAGCACAGAAAATGAAAGTATTTTAAATGATTTAATTGACTGCTTGCAGTATTTTTCCTTTCCTTGAATTATTTTGTATTCAGTTGCAATTTACCTTTAAACAACATGCTAAAATTTTTAGGGACTCCAGGAAGGATCAATTCTCTAGCACAGTGTTTTTCAACCTTTTTTGTGCAAAGGCACACTTTTTTCATGAAAAAAATCACGAGGCACACCACCATTAGAAAATGTTAAAAAAATTTACCTCTGTGCCTATATCGACTATATATAAAGTAATTCTCTTGAATAGGAATCAAACACAAAGAAATTATTTTATAATTACTTTATTATGAAATAATAAAGTATTTTATAATTGGACCCGGGGGCCGGACCAAGAGTAGATGAATGATGTGTATGTGTCATCCATAGTAAGTATAGTAATATTCCCCCATAGTAAGCATAGTAATTAATCCCCCATATAGTAATTCATCCCCCATAGTAATTCATCCTCCATATAGTAATTCATCCCCCATAGTAATTCATCCCCCATAGTAATTAATCCCCCATATAGTAATTCATCCCCCATAGTAATTCATCCACCATAGTAATTAATCCCCCATATAGTAATTCATGCCCCATAGTAATTAATCCCCCATATTAATTAATCCCCCATATAGTAATTCATCCCCCATAGTAATTCATCCCCCATAGTAATTAATCCCCCATATAGTAATTCATCCCCCATAGTAATTCATCCCCCATAGTAATTCATCCCCCATATAGTAATTCACCCCCCATAGTAATCATCCCCCATATAGTAATTCACCCCCCATAGTAATTCATCCCCCATAGTAATTCATCCCCCATATAGTAATTCATCCCCCATAGTAATTCATCCCCCATAGTAATTCACCCCCCATATAGTAATTCATCCCCCCTATAGTAATTCATCCCCCCTATAGTAATTCATCCCCCATATAGTAATTCATCCCCCATAGTAATTCATCCCCCCCTATAGTAATTAATCCCCCATATAGTAATTCATCCCCCATAGTAATTCATCCCCCATATAGTAATTCATCCCCCATAGTAATTCATCCCCCCTATAGTAATTCATCCCCCATAGTAATTCATCCCCCATATAGTAATTCATCCCCCATAGTAATTCATCCCCCATAGTAATTCATCCCCCATATTAATTCATCCCCCATATTAAGTCCCCAAGCCCCCCCTGTGTCAATTCACTTACCTTTGCTCCGCGCGTTCCTCTCGCCGTTCCGGTGTAGCATGAAAATCTGTCTCCTATGAGGATCTGTCCCCCTCGACGTATCTGCGCATGTGCCAGTTTCAGGCATTAGCAGCCGATCAGCGATCTCCGGCACATGCGCAAATACGTCGAGGGGGACAGATCATCCTGACAGTATCACGCTCCGCGGGCCGGATTAAAAGGTCCGCCGGGCCGTAGTTTGCCCATTGCTGTTCTAATGATTGGTCTATTTGTGAGCCGAGGCCACATGTTACGGATGAAATTGCAATTTTTCCCACAGCACACCAGACAATATCTCACGGCACACTAGTGTGCCGCGGCACAGTGGTTGAAAAACGCTGCTCTAGCACATCACCCTCCCTCTTTGCATGTCATAGACCTCCCTTTTCTGGGAGTGTCTAGTTGCTGTCTGTGCTGACCCAGCTTCCCCACCCCTCCCTTCACCTCTCTTGCTCTCCAGAGGATTTACCCCCCCCCCTTCCTGAACAGTCCATTTTTTGCGATACGGCGCTGCGTTACTTTAATTGACTATTGCGCGGTCATGCAATGCTGCACCCAAATAAAGTTTATGTCCTTTTTTTCCCCAAAAATAGAGCTTTCTTTCAGTGTTATATGATCTCCCGTGCGGTTTTTGTTTTTTGCACTATAAACGAAAAAAGACCAACAATTTTGAAAAAAAAAAAAAAACAATATTTTTGACTTTTTGCTATAAAACATATACAGTAAAAATCACATTTCGTCATACATTTAGGCCAAAATGTATTCTGCTACATGTCTTTGCTAAAACAAAATCCCAATACACGCAACTTAATTTGTTTATGTGAAAATTATAGCGTTTACAAATAGCCGTATAGATACTGGAATTTTTTTTTTTTTTATACTAGTATTGGTGGCGATCAGCGACTTATAGCGAGACTGCAGCAGGCATTCTGACACTGAGTGGGAATTAACTGCCACTGACATCCCCAGTAACACTAATACAGTGATCAGTGCTAATAAAAAGCACTGACACTGTACTAATAACACTGGGCAGGAAGGGGTTAACATCTGGGTGATCAAAGGGGCTAACTATATGCTGTGTGCTGTTTTACTGTGGCCTGTGTGTTTTGTACTATGTAAGCATGCTGCTTTGTATTGCTCTGCTATGCAATACAATGCAGCATGCTGGTGCTGACGGGAGAGATCTATATTGTTTGCATACAGACCTCTCCCCTGTCAGTGTTCCTCGGCAATTGCCGGGTGCCGGAGGGGTATATCCGGCTGGGACCTGGTGATCAACAGCTGCAGCCACCAATTGCACGGGTAGGGCGAGCATGCCTCCTACACACACGCACGCACGCACGCACGCACGCACGCACACACACACACACCAGACATCACTAACCACTGTTTTTGGTAGAAATGATATTTCTACATGGCAAATAATTTACTAGCAGGTGTAGTAGAGTAATAGAAATCCAACAGAGCCAACAGTCATGACATGCATGCTGCTGATTCTGTGTAATTGAATCACTCATTGAAAGGGGCATGTTCAAAATAATAGCAGTGTGGAGTTCTATTAGTGAGGTCATTCATTCTTTGAAAAACAGGTGGCAATTATTGCCCTTATTTAAGGAAGGAGGGCAGCAAATGTTGTACATGCTGGTTACAGTGCATTTCGCTCTGAAATTCTGAGGAAAATGGGTCGTTCCAGACATTGTTCAGAAGAACAGCGTACCTTGATTAAAAAAGTTGATTGGAGAGGGGAAAACATATAAAGAAGTGCAGAAAATGATCGGCTGCTCAGCTAAAATGATCATCCTATTGGTAGATTTTGTTGAAATTAATGGTTTGGCCACAGGTTCTCTTTAATGATCGCTATTATGAAAATGTACATGTTTGTAGTACAGGAATTATATTTTAAGAGAAGTGTTCTTTCATGCATGGTATTGTAGAGATTTTAATCACCTTCTCTCTGCTGATAGAGTTATGCTGATGCCATCAGAAGGTCCAGATGTATCATGAGGATAGGGGTCACTCACCTGATCACCTGTCTTTATTATTCATTCCAATTACTTCATCTATCACTGCGCTGTTATCATGTGACCATGTGTCATTATGCCACCAGTGACCCAAACTACCAATTCTACTTAGTAAGCTGGAGTGAGAGAGGCACAGGCTATATAACAAAGCTATTTTTATGTCAAATAAATGATATGGATGATAGATAGGGAAATTAATTGACTAAAGGATGAATGGATAAATTGAAGGATGGGCAGACTGATGGTTCAATAGAATGAGGGATGGATAGATTGAGAGATGGACATATTGACTGATGAATAGAATGAGGGATGGATAGATTGGGGGATGGGCAGATTGATGAATTAATAGAATGAGGTATGGATAGATTGACGAACGGATAGAATGAGGGATGGATAGTTTGAGGGATGGACAGATTGACGGATGAATAGATTGAAGGATGGATTCAGGGATGGGCAGACTGAGGGATGGATAAATTCAAGGATGGATAGATAGAGAGATAGATTCAAGGATGAATAGATTGAAGGATGGACAGATTAAGGAATGGACCGATTGAGGGATTGAAGAGTGGACAGATTGAGGGATGGATAGACTGAGGGTTGGACAGCTTGACAGATGGATAGAATGAAGGATGGATAGATTGTGGGATAAATAGATTGAAGGATGGATTCAAGGATGGACAGACTGAGGGATAGATAGATAGATAGATAGATAGATAGATAGATAGATAGATAGATAGATAGATAGATAGATAGATAGATAGATAGATTGATTTAAGGTTGAATAGATTGAAGGATGGATTAAGGGACAGACTGATTGAGGGACTGAAGGATGGACATATTGACGGATGGATAGAGTGAGGGATGAATAGATTGGAGGATGGATTCAAGGACGGACAAACTGAGGGATGGATAGATTGAAGGATAGATAGATAGATAAAGTTTAAGGATGAATAGATTGAAGGATGGACAGATTAAGGGATGGACCGATTGAATGATTGAAGGATGGACAGATTGAGGGATGGGCAGATTGACGGATGGATAGTCTGAGGGATAGACAGATTGACAGATGATAGACAGGGATAGACAGATTGACGGATGAATAGAATGAGGGATGGATAGATTGTGGGATGAATAGACTATAGGATGGATTCAAAGATGGACAGACTGAGGGATGGATAAATTGAAAGATACATGGATGGATAGATAGATAGATGGATAGATGGATGGATGGATGGATGGATGGATGTATAGATAGATAGATAGATAGATAGATAGATAGATAGATAGATAGATAGATAGATAGATAGATAGATAGATAGATTTAAGGAGGAATGGATTGAGGGATGGACCAATGGAGGGATATAGATAGATGGATGGATGGATAAATAGAAGGATGTAGAGATTAAGGGACAGACCGATTGAGAGATTGAACGATGGACAGATTGACAGATGGATAGAATGATGGATTGAATAATGGACTGATTGAGGGATTAATAGATTCAAGGATGGACAGATTGAGGGATGAATATACTGAAGGATGAATAGATTGAGAGATTAAAGGATGGATAGAATGAGCAATTGATAGATTGAAGGATAGATAGATTGAGGGATGGATAAATTGAAAGATGAATAGATTGAAGAATGGGTAGACCGAAGAATGGAAAGACTGAGGAATGGAAAGATAGTTGGATACATCATTTCCATCAAGCTGCTCACATTCATGCATTTTACTACCTACAAGCAGTAAATAATGAATCTCTAAATCCACTTTAATATGTAAATGTTGTTCCTCTTCCAGGGTTTGACGCCGCTCATGTACGCCTGTGCATCTGGAGATGAGGCCATGGTGCAGATGCTGATAGAAGCCGGAGCTGACCTGGATGCTGCGGTAAGAGAGCCATTTGCAGGACTGTGTTTATAGGAGCATCACTACGATGGCTGGATCACCACCAAAATACAAGGAATAGGTCCCCTGAATCAAAACAATAAGTTCATTATTATATTTATAAGCTCTTCCTTATAAATATGGTGTTTTTCAAAAACAGGTTATATTAATTACAGTTCTCCTAATCAACAAAACCTCCAGGGGCCATCACACCTCAGCAGTTTGAAGCACAATTTGACGTTTCCACTAGAAATGCATCAATGCTTGACACTAGGATTTCCTTTACAGCCAATGGTGCAAGTTCATACCTGAGCACAGTGTTCCTTGAACCTTAGAAATCAGCACTTGAAGTTTCTTATGAGTCGCATGTTTTGGCCACAATAGACTTCAATGGGATAGCCCCAAAAAATGCACGGAAAACAAGCAAAACCTGCCTTTTGTGAGCATTTTCTTGTCTAGTAACTAGCTTAGCAATGACTAACAAAGAAAAGTAACTCACTCAGCCTGAAATGCGCTGAAATGCTAAAAAAAATACGTGTAAAATGACCAAAAACAATTAGCTCAAGTGTGAATGGAGCCACGCACGTGGTTTTATACATGGGACAAGAAAAAGAAAGTTGTAAAAGAACCAAATTTGCCCAAAAAATGTGTCGCATGTAGATATTAAACTCTAATAGTCCCCTTGTATGTGAGACCACATTCTGATATTTCTGGCCCTTCATTGAGCATTTGGGTATCAAAGAACAATTGTAATATACAGTAATCATTTATCCGTCCCCACCCCATGTATTACAACATCGTATTGGAACACTCGAGTAGCAAGTAACAACTAGCAATAGAAATAAATTATAATTGGGTTCAGCAAGCCAAATACAACATTACAGGCAATCTAGCCCCAAAATATGTTTTTACTTGGTGTCCCTTTAAGCAGAGGCAGGGTATGGCTGGAAGGCTGCTGCTGTTTCACAAGGAGGTTATATTGCGGCTCTTGTGGTTTTTTTATTATTAAGAAAGTCTGCAGAGTTTTTCAACACCACGCTGATCCAATTAGAAATAATTCAGGCTCGGGCAGCTCTGACGAGGTCTTTGAAGTTTTTAGAAAATTCCTGTTTGCTACCACAATGCTATATAAGGGTGTTAAAGGGCAATTAGGTTTATAGCACAAATTGTGTTACATAAAGAAGTGATTCATAATGTATGCTTGTGAAAACCCCACCATTGATGACAAAACTTGGGATTTTTTTTTTTTTTACATTGCATTAACATTTTCTGTGTAGTGGTCTATAGCCTTTTTAGTCTTCTGTAGTCTTTTCTTCTTTTTTTTTTTTTTTTTTTTAAGATCTGCTTGATAAGTTTAAAGACAAGTTGATCCTGCCAGAAATCTTGCAAGCTGAAAACTTCCTGTTCTCTGCCTGTGCTGCGCCCTTATCAGTTACAATATTTCCAGCTATTTCTGTGGACTGTAGAACTACAGAAAACCTTCCTCTATGTTCTGATGAAGAGAAGAGGGGGAAGTGTTTCCTAGTCCTAAAGTGGTACCGGTTTACAAAAAAGAACATTCTTTTCAAGTATACATTCTTAACCTAAAAAGTCCCTTTTATTGTTCTTGGCCTCCACCAAATCTTAAAATTATTATTTTACGTTGCTACTGTGCAGGGGTGTCCCTAGGGTTGGTGTCACCCCTCCAAAGGTGGGCGGTCCCTGTTGTGCACACACAGCCTGGCTTTTCCCCTCCCTGTGTCCCCGTCGCACCCCCCCGGAATGGTGTTGCAAGATCAGTTAACCCCGTATAGCAGTGGTTCTCAACCTTCCTAATGCCGCGACCCTTTAATACAGTTCCTCATGTTGTGGTGACCCCCAACCATAAAATTATTTACCCAGTAATTATAATTCATGAGTGTCGTTTTACCTCCCATACTGCTTCTTTCAACATAGTAGCTGCTTTTAACAGAGTAGCTGCTTTCAATACAGCAGTTTCTTTCTACACAGTAGCTGCTCTTTACACATCGGAAATATGTGTTTTCCGATGGTCTTAGGTGACCCCCTTAGGTGACCCCCAAAGGGGTCACGACCCACAGGTTGAGAACCACTGCCATATAGGTTGCAAGCCGACGATCCCTGCAAGATGGATCGGATCTGCAAATTGGGGAGCATAATGGATCGGACTCCGACATTTGAGTGCAGATATATACAGACAAGCCTATATGTATAAATTGAAACACTGGCAGCTAGAAGAGGATGCAGTAGAATTGTATGTATCTATATGCTGGCACACAATAATGCTGCTGCACATGTTCATAAAAGGTCTTTAAAGCAGAGCTCTACCCAAAAGGGGACGTTTTGCTTTAAGGACTGATCCCCCACTCCCCAATAAGGATTGGTACCTTTTGGAGAGCGGTACCCGAAATTGACAGGTACCCCTTCCCATTTCCACTGGGATCGCCTAGGCCGATCGGAAGCGGAAGTTGTCCCCCCCCTTCCCCGTAGTCTACTGGGACATGCGACGGGTCCCAGAAGACTACGGGACCATTCACAAAGCATAGCGCTACTTCTCCATGCACATTGGACACCCATCTGTGAAGCCGCAAGCTGTCACAGCTGGGTGCCCACACTTAAGGTGACGGCATCGGGAACACAGGGCGGCCGGTGAAACGGGCTGCAGGGGCGACACCGCAGGATCGCGGAACACGTAAGTGTCTGTCTGTTTTTTAAGTCGGAAGCTACAGTTTTTGCAGCTTCTGACTTTTTAAATTTGTTTTGATTTTCACTGGAACTTCACTTTAAGGCAAAATTGCATTTTTCACATCACTCTTTCTACCATCCTCTGCCACCAAGATCTTACTTCAGGTGCAATAGTTATCGTTCAATAATATATACTGTAAATATCTGAAAAGATAGATTCCCCTTGATGGTAGTGTGTTCTCAAACAGTAAAAAACCAATATGATCGCCAGTCCTGAGAAACGTCAAAGCTGTCACACCGCCACCCTAGACCTGAAGGGTTCCTCTGAAATGTATCCAAGTGTACAATCTCTGAAGCATTTTGAACTCCTACAAAGCTGCCCTAACAACTAGATGTAGACTGAGCTCCTTGCTGTGTCTCCTAGTATAGCAATACCCTCTGACGTGAGCAATTCATCGGGACAAGAACCAAAGGTGCATTTTCCATAGACTCTCTAGTCCTCGTTGAATTGAACGAAATGCTTCCTTCGTCTGTGTTCACTAGAGCAGATTCACACAAATCTTCTGCATTCAGAATCTGTTTGATCCCACACTGTGTGGTGTCTAGTGGCATCAGCAGGTCAATATTTGAAGTAAATCTTATAGTTTTCCTTTTTTTCAGGTGCCCAGCAATTCCCCCCCGACACCCGTCTGTGCACCCTGACACCCGGCACTGGACAGCGTTGACGTTTGCTGTGCTGCATGGACACATCTCGGTTGTGCAGGTAAGTTGGAGCAGGAAGACTGATCATTGGTTGGTATCTGTGCACCCGGGCAGATGGGGATCGCAGTGCAGCTCACCACGTGATGGCCCATCACACCCTGCACCTGGATCTGCATCTCCCTTGTTCCTGCCATGACTGCAGGGCAGGCAGTGTGAGAGGCACTGAAAAGAAAGCTGTCCCAGTAAACACAGAAGGCTTCTGTGTTTACAGGTGACAGTGGTGAGCAGGGAGCAGAGTGCGAGACCCGGAGGTGGTGGAACGGAGTTCCACCATGTTCCAGCTGAAAAAAGCCCATGGTGCGAGGACTACATGAACTGACCTGATAGGCCAGATTTGGTCCACGGGTCTTGTGTTTGACACATGTGCCTTAAAGGGTTCCGCCAACTTCTGAAACATCATGAGCTGGGAGACTAAAAACCCAAGTCTGCATGATTACCTTCCAACCTCCACTGGTCATATACACTACCTCTCCTTCTCCAGCAGCTGCAAATACAATATGCCATCCCCATACCCACAGCAATATATGCATTACAAGTTCATCCTTTCACTGGCAGCCATATAGACAAACTACCTCATCTCCAGCAGCCATAAAAACACCCCGTAATACCCAGCACCCATCCTGTTTATACAGACTGCCTCATCCCCAGCAGCAATAAATATCCCCCCAATACCCAGCACTCCTACTGTTTATACAGACTGCCTCATCATCAGCAGCCATACTGTTTATACAGACTGCCTCATCTCCAGCAGCAATAAATATCCCCTCAATACCCAGCACCCATCCTGTTTATACAGACTGCCTCATCTCCAGCAGCCATACTGTTTATACAGACTGCCTCATCTCCAGCAGCAATAAATATCCCCTCAATACCCAGCACCCATTCTGTTTATACAGACTGCCTCATCTCCAGCAGCCATACTGTTTATACAGACTGCCTCATCTCCAGCAGCAATAAATATCCCCTCAATACCCAGCACCCATCCTGTTTATACAGACTGCCTCATCTCCAGCAGCCATACTGTTTATACAGACTGCCTCATCTCCAGCAGCAATAAATATCCCCTCAATACCCAGCACCCATTCTGTTTATACAGACTGCCTCATCTCCAGCAGCCATACTGTTTATACAGACTGCCTCATCTCCAGCAGCCATAAATATCCCCCCAATACCCAGCACTCCTACTGTTTATACAGACTGCCTCATCCTCAGCAGCCATACTGTTTATACAGACTGCCTCATCTCCAGCAGCAATAAATATCCCCCCAATACCCAGCACCCATACTGTTTATACAGAATGCCTTATCTCCAGCAGCCGTAAATATCCCCCCAATACCCAGTACTCATACTGTTTATACAGACTGCCTCATCTCCAGCAGCCATAAATATCCCCCCAATACCCAGCACTCCTACTGTTTATACAGAATGCCTTATCTCCAGCAGCCATAAATATCCCCCCAATACCCAGTACTCATACTGTTTATACAGACTGCCTCATCTCCAGCAGCCATAAATATCCCCCCATTACCCAGCACCCATCCTGTTTATACAGACTACCTCATCTCCAGCAGCCATAAATATCCCCCCAATACCCAGCACCCATCCTGTTTATACAGACTACCTCATCTCCAGCAGCCATAAATATCCCCCCCAATACCCAGCACCCATACTCTTTATACAGACTTCCTCATCTCCAGCAGCCATAAATATCCCCCCAATACCCAGCATCCATATATATATAGTCAAGGAAATAAGTATTTGATCCCCTGCTGATTTTGAATGTTTGCCCACTCACAAAGAAATGATCAGTCTAAAAATTGAATGGTAGGTGTATTGTAACACTGAGAGACAGAATAACAACAAAATATTCAAAAGAAATGCATGTCTAACAAATGATGACTGATTTGAATGTTCATGAGGGAAATAAGTATTTGATCCCCTTCACAAAACATGACTTAGTACTTGGTAGCAAATCCCTTGTTGGCAATCAGAGGTCCGATGTTTCCTGTAGTTGGCCACCAGGTTTGCACACATCTCAGGAGGGATTTCGGCCCACTCCTCTTGGCAGATCCTCTCCAAGTCATTAAGGTTTGGTGGCTGACGATTGGCAACTCGAACGTTCAACTCCCTCCACAGATTTTCAATTGGATTAAGGTCTGGAGACTGGCTAGGCCACTCCAGGACCTTAATGTGCTTCTTCTTTAGCCACTCCTTTGTTGTCTTGGCCGTGTGTTTTGGGTCATTGTCATGCTGGAACACCCATCCATGACCCATTTTCAATGCCCTAGCTGAGAGAAGAATAATTGCACCAACTGTTGTCACCTTCTCAACAAGCTGCTTGAGGATAGTTTTGTAGCCCAATCCAGCCTTGTGTAGGTCTACAATCTTGTCCCTGACATCCTTGGACAGCTCTTTGGTCTTTGCCATGGTGGAGAGTTTGGAATCTGATTGTTTGATTGCTCCTGTGGACAGGTGTCTTTTATACAGGTAACAAAATGAGATTAGCAGCACTCCCTTTAAAAGACTGCTTCTAATGTCAGCTTGTTACCTGTATGAAAGACACCTGGTAGCCAAAAATCCTGCTGAATGATAGGGGATCAAATACTTATTTCCCTCATGAACATGCTAATCAGTCATCATTTGTTAGACATGCTTTTCTTTTGAATTTCTTGTTGCTATTAGCACTCATATAGGCACACTGCCCCAGCAGTCATAGATATCCCCCCCAATACCCACCACCCATATTGTATATACACACTACCTCTCACTTCCTGCTGAGTCTCTTGGACAGGAAGTGAAGGGAAATCTCTTCAAGGGAACACAGACAGCTGACTAGGGTTCTAATTCCTACTCTGTCTAAAACTAAATGAACACATTTTAGTTTTGATGTACTTTGAGAAAGGAAGCTGTCTTGCAATGTCATTGCTATACACAAATAATGACTGCCATATACTTCACTTATTGTAAGCCCAGTCTGATCTTCTTTGCTTTGTTTCTCTCCAGTTACTCCTGGATGCCGGCGCCAGTGTGGAGGGTTCAGCCGGGAACTGCAGAGAAGACAACTATGCTGAGACCCCTTTACAGCTGGCCTCTGCTGCAGGTACCCCTTATATCCACCATTGACAGTCATCCCATTTCTGACACCTTTTCCAGGATCTCCATAATAGCCCCATCTTTGTGCATACGCGTGTGCAGATGAGCCAAAGGTCTCTGCTGTGTCCCAAAGGATGGGCATTCAAAGCTGAAAATATGTCCATAGCATACCACAGATTCTCCAAAGGGGTCCAAAGCTTTATTCATCACTCACAGCATAATAACAAAGGCAACGTTTCGGAGCCACACAGGGCCCATTCATCAGGCAAGTGACGAAGGATGGGCAAGAGTGCTGTGGCACATCTGCACATGCATGGAATCAAGCGCAACATCATTCTCACCTAGGCAAGAAAAGAGGACGTACTGTGCTAGGAAAAAATGTCCAAAGCAAAAGAAATATATCTTTATCTAATTGCAGAAGAGGGAGGGAACTGGAGCCGCATGCACACAATTTGTTTTTTTTGGGGAGGAGGTCTGCTTTACAAATTAAGCAGTTATACATTGGAGATCTGAGTTTTTGGCTCTGGGATTCTCTATTTTCCAAGACCCATAAGAGGGGCTGCCATTATGATAGTTTGTATGTATTTCTTCTCCTGGCACAATGGCAAGGATTAGTGTAAAGATGGATATGGGAGCAGGTTGGTGGTTGTCTCAGCTGTCTGCCAGTTGTCTGAGGCAAGACTTCAAATCTCTTACTCTTTATAGGTAACTATGAGCTGGTTAGTCTGCTCCTGGACAGAGGTGCCGATCCCCTCCTGAACATGCTGGAAGCCGGTCGGGTGACATCTTCGCTACATGAGGACATGAACTGCTTCAGCCACTCAGCCGCGCATGGGCACAGGTACGAACCCTGGGGAATCCAACACTTCCACTTCTAGAAGACTCTGTCATAACCGACTTTGGTTGTGCTTTTATCTGTATGGTTCTAGAATCAAATCTAAATCAAATGCAATTCCTTTCAGTAAATATTCAGTACACAATGCTAAATCCATACATTCCCAGGCAGCCCCTCCCTTACAGCAAAGTGAAAAAAAACTGCAAAGTGAAAAAAACAAGAAGTGCACCAACCTTGCGCATTACCTCAGTAACCAAAATTTATTAGTAAAGGAATGGTACTCACAAACAGCGAATAAAAACAGGCATGTAAGTCAGAGCTCTGAGGAAGAAGGTACGTCCTTCGAAACGCGTCAGCGGTACTGAGTGTCTACCCCCATGATGGGATTCGCGCTGGCCTCTTGTCTCTGAAGTCCCTTGGAGGACTTGCATGCCTGTTTTTATTCGCTGTTTGTGAGTACCATTCCTTTACTAATAAATTTTGGTTACTGAGGTAATGCGCAAGGTTGGTGCGCGTCTTGTTTTTTTCACTTTGCAGTATTGTTCGGGCTTCCCCAGCCTTGTTTTGGAGCTGCAGGACCTTTCATGCTCTGGTGGTCGTTTCGTTTGGGTTTGATTTCACCTACTCACCACCGGCCTGGGTCCTGGAGCGCAGGAGGAATCGTATTTTAGCCCCTCCCTTACATCAAAGTCCACATCAAAGTCCCCCCTTACACCAGGGCCCCCATCAAAGCCCCCTTACATTTTTTAGCAAAGGCATGTACCAGAATGCAATTTGGCCTAAATTTATGATGAAATTTGATTTTTAAAAATTTTTTATTGGACTTGTTTTATAGCAAAAAGTCAAAAATATAGTTTTTTTTTTCAAAATGTTTTTTTTTTTTTTGTTTATAGCGCAAAAAATAAAAGACACAGAGGTGATCAAATACCACCGAGAGAAAGCTCAATTTGTGGGGGGAAAAAAGGACGTAACGTTGTAGTGGAAAAAAGCATTTTTTTTGTTATGTTGCACATTGCAACTATTTGTGATGGAATTTTGTAGTATTTGTGATGGACTCTATGGTATAGCACTAGCGCCATCTACTTTTGAAAAGTGGTAGCAGCCTATGCCAAAGCTAAAACTGAACCACACAGTATACAGTATATATTATTATTATTATTATATAGTATTTATAAAGCGCCCATAGTTCGCTCAGCGCTGTACATTACAAAGGGGGACAGAACATGTGACAGAACAATAACAATACAATGCAAAACATGAGGGGATTGAGGGCCCTGCTCTTTCGAGCTTACAATCTAGGAGCAGGGCATTGCTTTGTTTTGAGGGAATAAAGCTGATTTTAGTAATTATTATTATTTTTTATCCGTATTATATAGTTTGGTGATTTCCCCCAGAGGTAGCATGTAATTATCCTCTGTTGTTATAACCTCCCAAATCATTTACATATTTGGACTATTGTTTATTGCTGGCAGTTTACACATTGCTTCACATATTTTACATTCACATCAGTCCCTGTGCTCAAGGAGCTTACAATCTAAGGTCCCAACCTTACATTCATACATATACTAGGGGCAATTTACACAGGAGCCAGTTAACCTACCAGCATGTCTTTGGAATGTGGGAGGAAACTTGAGGAAACCCACACAAGCACAGGGAGAACATGTAAACTCCATGCAGATAGTGTCTTGGTCAGGATTGTACCCAGCAACCCAAGTGCTGTCAGGCAGAAGTGCTAACCACTAAGCAAATAAGCATGTCATACTATCCGTATCATACCTTGTGTGTTTTGCTTCAGCACCTAAATGTCCCAATATATAATTCTGAAATTAGAGGTAACTGGAGACTGATCTGAGCTTTCAGGACCTCAAGAATAAATGTATCTCACCATACACATAACAGTCTAACTACAATCTTTGTACAATCAACTTCAGATCTACGAAAACTATGTAATATGAGGACCTACCTAAACTGTCCAATCAATTTGTATTCAATCAAAGCAGATCCTTGTATTTACATGCTTGTTGGTAGATCGTAATGTGTGGTATGATCTTAAGAACTGGAACAATCTCAGCCACCAGTCACAATAAACAAGTTTGCAGCTAGCTTGTGGAATAGGAAATACTCCAGCTCCTAGTTAGAAGAGGATCACATATAATACTCAGCAGACTGATCAGCTTTAGCTTCCATAAACTGCTGTACACATCTGACTTTTATTATATAATAGCTGTAGAGATCAGACAGAATTCACTCTCTTCTTCCCTTTAGGAATGTCCTACGTAAACTGCTGACTCAGCCTCAGCTCTGTATGGGAGACGTCCTTTCCCTGGAGGAGATCCTGGCAGAGGGGGTAGAGAGCGACACCTCTAGTACCAGCAGCTCAGATCAGGTTCCAATCCGGCTCTGTAAGACCAGAATGAAGGCGCTGCAGGAAGCTACGTACTACAGTGCAGAACATGGCTATCTGGACATCACTATGGAGCTACGTGGCCTCGGTAAGATTCTGTCAGACCATGATCCTCACCCCCTCCACATATCGAGAACATTGGAGTACTATGCCAGCACAGAGCACAGGCGGGGTATGCCAGCACAAAGCACTGGCACTGAGCACTGGAGGGGTATGCCAGCATAGAGAACTGAAGGGGTATGTCAGCACAGAGCATTGAAGGGGTATGCCAGCACAAAGCAGTGGAGGGGTATGCCAGCAAAAAGCACTAGAGAGGTATACCAGCACAGAGCACTGGAGGGGTATGCCAGCAGAGAACATTGGAGTACTATGCCAGCACAGAGCACTGGAGGGGTATGCCAGCAGAGAACATTGGAGTACTATGCCAGCACAGAGCACTGGAGGGGTATGCCTGCACAGAGCACTGGAGGGGCATGCCTGCACAGAGCACTGGAGGGGTATGCCAGCACAGAGCACTGGAGGGGTATGCCGGCACAGAGCACTGGAGGGGTATGCCAGCACAGAGCACTGGAGGGGTATGCCGGCACAGAGCACTGGAGGGGTATGCCTGCACAGAGCACTGGAGGGGTATGCCTGCACAGAGCACAGAGGGGCACTGGAGGGGTATACCAGCACAGAGCACTGGAGGGGTATACCAGCACAGAGCACTGGAGGGGTATACCAGCACAGAGCACTGGAGGGGTATACCAGCACAGAGCACTGGAGGGGTATGCCAGCACAGAGCACTGGAGGGGTATGCCAGCACAGAGCACTGGAGGGGTATGCCAGCACAGAGCACTGGAGGGGTATGCCAGCACAGAGCACTGGCACTGAGCACTGAGGAGGGGTATGCCAGCACAGAGCACTGGAGGGGTATACCAGCACAGAGCACTGGAGGGGTATACCAGCACAGAGCACTGGAGGGGTATACCAGCACAGAGCACTGGAGGGGTATGCCAGCATGAAACACTGGCACTGAGCACTGGAGGGGTATGCCTGCACAGAGCACTGGAGGGGTATACCAGCACAGAGCACTGGAGGGGTATAGCAGCACAGAGCACTGGAGGGGTATACCAGCACAGAGCACTGGAGGGGTATAGCAGCACAGAGCACTGGAGGGGTATGCCAGCATGAAGCACTGGCACTGAGCACTGGAGGGGTATGCCTGCACAGAGCACTGGAGTGTCAAGAAGCATTAGGGACTAGTTGACACGAGTGTACTACAGTGTACACCGATCCGAGGGCTGTGTTTACCTGCATGGGGAAGTACAGGTGTTGCATGCATCCCCGTGCAGACAGTTACATTCATGCCATTTGGGACCCAGCGGTTGCAGGGACACAGTTACTGCTCCCAATTTGACATCTGTGTGAGTGCATGTTCCTGAACACAGACAGTGTGCGTTCAGGACCGTGAACATTCACAGATATCAGATTGGGAGCAGTGGCTGTGTCCCTGCAACCGCTGGGTCCCAAATGGCATGAATGTAACTGTCTGCTCAGAAATACATGCAACACCTGTGCTTCCCCATGCAGGTAAACACAGCCCTCGGATCGGTGTACACTGTAGTACACCCATGTGAGAGAAGCAAACATCTGCCACATAACCTGCAGGGTAACCGGACTATATCGTGATATAAAGGTGTGAGGCTTTAATTAGGTTTTAAGTTGACCACACAGGATTGTACAATCTCTTTTACCAACTACTACACTGCGTAAAGCCGGCCATACTTTATACAAATCTGATCATACAATTTCTGTATAATTTCCTTTCATGCAGACCCTCATACTACATAGATGATGGTAGATCTAAAGGAGATTGTACAATCAGATTGTACAGTGTATGATCGCCTGAAGGGCCTTCCTAACTGGCTATAGTTCGGCTACGCAGGGATTAACACACTAATCAGAAGGTGTGTGTCCAGCTTTATATGAGCACACATTTGGTCCAGGTTGCTTATGTTTTCAGTATTTGATGGATGACGAAGAGGTAAACCACACGACTGATTTTGATATGACACAAGAAATCTGATTGGTTACTTGTCTGCTGTGGTAAATTTTTCATACTTCAGCTCTGTTGTAACTTTGTACAAATCAGGTTTCTTGCACAGTGAACAGAGCCTGCGTAATAACGTTCCTGGGACCTGCTGCTGCCTTGTACAGCTTTCCATTGGGATGCATTAGAAGATGTGTCAGGGGTTGCATAGAGCAGCGTTTTTCAACCACTGTGCCGCGGCACACTAGTGTGCCGTGAGATATTGTCTGGTGTGCCGTGGGAAAAATTCCAATTTCATCTGTAACATGTGGCTTCGGCTCACAAATAGACCAATCATTAGAATCTAATGATTCAGTGGTCGGCAAGCCGCGGCTCGCGAGCCACATGCGGCTCTTTACCCAGTCTAATGCGGCTCTTCTGTGTGCCGGGCGCCTGCTCCCCTCCCTCCTCTCGGTCGGGCGGGCCGCTCCCCTGCCTCCTCTCGGTTGGCAGCCCCAAAAGTCCGCGCGGACCTTTTAATCCGGCTTGCGGATGTGGCTGTCAGGATGTGTGTAGGCGGGGCAGCGTGCCGAACGTGAGGGAGGGGAGCTAGGCTCCTCTCACAGTCCGCCCTGAAGACCCGAACGGCGCGGGAAGACAGCGAGAGGAACGCAAAAGGTAAGTGAATTGACACGGGGGACTTGGCTTACTAGAAGGGGGGGGGGGGGGGAATAGTACTGTGGGGGATGAAATACTATATGAGGGATGAATTACTTTATGAGGGATGAAATACTATATGGGGGGATGAAATACTATATGGGGGATGAATTACTATATCAGGGATGAATTACTATATGAGGGATGAATTACTATATCAGGGATGAATTACTATATGAGGGATGAAATACTATATGGGGGGATGAAATACTATATGGGGGGATGAAATACTATATGGGGGGATGAATTACTATATGAGGGATGAAATACTATATGGGGGGATGAAATACTATATGAGGGATGAAATACTATATGGGGGATGAATTACTATATGAGGGATGAATTACTGTATGAGGGATGAAATACTATATGGGGGGATGAAATACTATATGAGGGATGAAATACTATATGAGGGGATGAAATACTATATGGGGGGATGAAATACTATATGGGGGATGAAATACTATATGAGGGATGAAATACTATATGAGGGATGAAATACTATATGAGGGATGAATTACTATATGAGGGATGAAATACTATATGGGGGGATGAAATACTATATGGGGGGATGAAATACTATATGGGGGGGATGAAATACTATATGAGGGATGAATTACTATGGGGGATGAATTACTATATGGAGGATGAATTACTATATGGGGGATTAATTACTATGCTTACTATGGGGGAATATTACTATAGCTTACTATGGATGACACATACACATCATTCATCTACTCTTGGTCCGGCCCCCGGGTCCAATTATAAAATACTTTATTATTTCATAATAAAGTAATTATAAAATAATTTCTTTGTGTTTGATTCCTATTCAAGAGAATTACTTTATATATAGTCAATATAGGCACAGAGGTAAATTTTTTTTAACATTTTCTAATGGTGGTGTGCCTCGTGATTTTTTTCATGAAAAAAGTGTGCCTTTGCACAAAAAAGGTTGAAAAACACTGGCATAGAGCACCCACATGTGCAAGGGGGGGGGGGGGGGGGTGCTGCATGCAACCTGACACAGGATTTGCAGAACACTATTGGGTCTATTTATAAAAAAACAAAATTGCTATAGAAATGTGATCAACCTTTTCAGCACAGCAACAACATTTTCTCGAATATGATTTCCTATGATCATCAGCTCCATCTAGGGCCCATAATGTGGCATTTTCCTAGTTAAGGTAAATACTGCATTATGGCCACTAGATGGTGCCCATGGTCATAGGAAATGATCACATTAGACGAAATACATTGATATTTAGTTGCGGCTGTGCCATTTGTCACATTCATGCAGCACCAGTATGCCTTAGTTGTAACATTTTTAGACGATAACCCCAATATTCCTTTATGTATTATAGGAGTGCCATGGAAGCTGCATGTGTGGATCGAGTCCCTGCGGACCTCCTTCAACCACTCACACCGATCTATCATGGAGAGCCTGCTGCAAGAGTTCACCAGTATACGGGAGGAGGATTATAATGAGGAGCTCATTAACGAGGGCTTCCTTCTTCTCTTTAATATATTCAAGACCACTAAGGTGAGAGCCATTTTGTATCCTGAGCTTCATGGGGAAGCAGGTATTCACAGGACTCTAAAACATTCTTTTCACAGTTTTATTGTAAAAACCTCATGTCAGGAAGTCAGATAGGTTGGCGTTGACATGGCGCCATCAGGCTTTCACAATAAAGGAACGTTTTGGAGTGCTGGTGACTACATTCCACTGGATTCTTCAATGTTGCCACCCGTTGTGTCTTCAAGAACACACTGTCCTGATTGGTCACATGCTGGAAGGAGTCCAGTTCACACGAGGACAACTAAGGTGCCTGCACACATATTGATCATTAGATTTCCCGTTTAACCTTTTTTTTTTTTTTTTTTTCTGTGAGCCATTGTGGTGAAATTGCGTAGGGGATCATTTACACTAGGTTCAGACCTTTGCATATAGGGAATGTGCGCAAAATGACATGCTTACCCAACACGCAGAGAAATGTGTTGCACATTAGCAGATGCGTGGCAGTGCCGTTAATTGTTAATGGCACCCCCACACATCTACAAAAATGCACGCCAAACCGCATGGTGCTGCATCTACCATGTGGTCTGGTGCGGCGCATTTTTGGAAAACAGGCACTTTTTCTCGTGTTCTCTGCGTTTCTCTTGCGTAGGGCAATCCATTGAAATGAATGTCAAAAACAAACAAGAATTCCCAGCTCACTTACCAGCTAGCCTGCAACAAATTAGACCTGTCTTAGCAGTTCACGTTAAAACCAGGGGGTTGAGTTGTACACATTTGCACACATTATATATAGTAATGGATAGATGAAGGTCAGCTACGCCTGGAGGGAGCCCACCCCTCCTTAAAGGTACAGAGACACATTGGACACCCTGCAATGACAGCTGAAGGTATCCAGTGCGTCCCCGCACCAATTCACCAACTATACAAACATTGAAATGATTGGGCCGGCCTACACACGATGTGCAGGAATGTACAAAAAAACCTTTTGGTTGCACTGGTGGGTGTGAACCAAGTGTTATAATGGGGAGCAGGTAGTGATATCCGCTGTCCGTTCTGCACCATTGCACTATATATACCACCCACCCACGAGGTTCTCTCTGCTCAATGAAGGACAGAGTGCTTTGTGATTGGAGAAGATTGGGTCATGACCAGGTCCTGTCCTCCGGCTTCAGAATCCGGGATCCAATGGAGCGCAGAGCTCATTTTATAAAATACACCTACGTGCTTTATAAAGGTGCGGTGTATGGTTTTTTTTTTTCAAGATCTGCAGTATGGCTGTGGTGCAACCATACCACTGCTTTTAAATAAGCCCCTTCGTTTTCCAAAGCTCTGTAGGCTCAATTTTCTTCTGAAGTCTCCAAAATAAATATTAGCTGGAGTTGACTGATAAGTACATTATGTATATTATGTAAACAAAGACATGCTGGTAGGTTAATTGGCTCCTGTCTAAATTGTCCCTAGTATGTGTATGTATGAATGTGAGTTAGGGACCTTAGATTGTACACCCCTTGAGGGTTAGAGACTGATGTGAATGTACAATATATATGTAAAGCGCTGTATAAATTGATGGCGCTATATAAGTACCTGAAATACCTGAAATTCTATTATGACGTTTTACTTTCTGTTCCGCAGAGTGACGCTGTGTCGCAGCAAGTGGCCGCCATCTTTGCTCATAGCTATGGAGACAGCCCAATTCCCAAGATTCCTGATATACACAGGGCCCTTCCCGCTCGTCTCGGTGAGAACTACAAATCCTGCTAATTCGATGTATTTGATTCTAGTATGGAAATAACCTTGTTTCTGACTTAATACCATGTTGTCTGACAGATCCCCACTTCCTGAACAACAAGGAGATGGCGGACATCACATTCCTGGTGGAAGGAAAACTCTTCTATGCTCACAAGGTCCTCCTGGTCACGGCCTCCAACAGGTAATGGGATGGCGATGTAGCTGTGGCGGTATAGTTCTACATTTATTTAGCAGCTTCCAGTGCTAGTAATGAGGGTGGACAAGGCTTTCTGCTCCCCATACAGTCTCCCCTATATTGTATTTCCATGTCAGGTGGCACTTTTGTTCCAGAGCTTTATGTGAACCATTGTGCAGTACAGAGAGTCCAAGATGAAACAGTAGTTAGTGACACTCGACTGTATTAATATATGTAAAGTATAGAATGAAAAATGAAAGACTCTAACCCCGGTTCACATATCTGCGGCTGTGCGGGCCGCTTTTTGTGCGATCACGAGAGCGCGTGCCATTAGAATTAATGGCACCCGCCCACGGGTCCAGCATTGTTCTGTGTGAGTGGTGCGGCTGCAGGTATTTTTGTGCGGGTCCCGCAGCCGTGCCACCCGCACATATGTGTACCAAGCCTTAAAAGTATAAGTAAAGTCAAAACATTTTTTTCTTAGTTTTGAATATCCAAAATGAAAAAAAGTTTTGTTTTTAGTTTTACTTTGTGAAGGCCTTTGGCTTGCATTAATGCAAAATTATTGCCTAACTAAAGGCAGAAGGTTTTTTTACCTTAATGCTTTCTATGCATTAAGGTAAAAAAACCTCTGCATGCAGCTCCTCCCCACCCCGCCCCCTTTATACTTACCTGAGCCCAATCTCGATCCAGTACTGTGCACATCCGAGTAGATGCTTTCTCAGCTCTCCCTACTCATAGGCTCAGAGACAGCAGTGGGAGAGATTGGTTCCAGCTGCTGTCAATCACAGTGGGGTTGAGCTGCACTCTGTGTGACTATGGACACACAGAGCTGGATTAGTAGTGAGCACATATGAGTGCCTCCATAGCAAGGGGCTTGCTACAGGGGAATGTGGTGGGTTGGGAGCCAGGATTAGTAGGTTTGTTAGTTTTAAAAAATAAGAAATGTTCCTTTACAATCACTTTAAGGCCCCTTTCACAATGACAGTCCGATTGGGCCCGCCTGTCAGTTTTTTTCAGGCAGACCTGATTGGACCATTTATAGCTCTTCATGGATTGACAGGGGCAGGGGCGGACTGACAACTCATGGGGCCCCCGGGCAATAGGAGCCCCTGTGTCCTTGCCCAAACTCAAAAAAGCCTATGAAAAAGGTACCAGGGGCATCTCATGGGGCCCCCTACTGACCCCGGGCCCTCGGGCAGTGCCCGAGTTTCCAAATGGTCAGTCCGCCCCTGGACAAGGGGGACACCCGTCAGCATCCGATTCGATCCTGTACGCTAAAAAAAACAGACGAATGGGGATCTCTTCCCCATCTGTCCGGCGGATCGGATTGAATGATAGTCGGGTGTGGAAATTGGGCAGACGGTCCATTTTTCCATCCGACTGCAGCATAGAAAACAGCAGGCTGTGCCTGTGTCCGCTCTGCAGCAGTGGAGCAGACACAGACTGTCTCTGCTTACTCAGCGGGGATTAGCAGAGAGATTCCCTGCTGAGCAAGCGGATGCGCTGAAGGTGTGTGCCCCATCTGAAAGGGGCCTAAAGAGACTAACCTGCAAATGACACCAACCTAATAAATGTAAGTAAAAGTACCGAAATTAAAGTATTTTAAATGCTTACTTGCATTGTGTTTCTTACTATAAATTATATTTATTGAAAATTTGACAATTTCAGGAAGACCCCTCCCTCCTTGCAGGTCATAGTCCTTTCCTCTTCCAGGAGTTCCTAATCACTCTCTGTGCTGGCCCAGCTCCTCCTTGTCTTCCATCAAATCCCTAACAGCATTATAGAAAGCTGCCAGGGAAGGAGGCAATGGTATCACTATAGAGCTGGGACTGGCAACCTTGGCACTCTAGCTGTTGTGAAGCTACAAATCCTATCATGCCTATGGCTGTGAGTCTTGCAATGCCTGATGGGACTTGTAGTTCCATAACAGATGAGGTAGTGACAGCTCAGAGTCTCCTGGGGCTCAATGATGCAAGAAAAATTCTGGTTGGCTGCACATCCGATAAAATCAACTTTATTGTAGTATACTTCATAAAAGCAACTACAAATACAAGAAATAGGGGAACAGTATGTCCAGCCAACGCGTTTCATGCGAATTCGGTGCTTAATCATAGCTATAATTAGCGGAATCTTCCAGAAGCTTTTTATAGAAATGAACAGCCTGGGGACGAGGTCTCTTTAAGAGATTTGCACTGCCGGCTAGCAACGGGCTGCTAATTCTGAGGCAATGGCTTAGCATTCTTAGCCTGCAACAGGAAGTGACGTTACTGGCAGGATCTCCACGCAAGAAACTTTGCAACAGATTTACACATTTTTACAGATTTCTTTTAGTTCCTGAACTATAAATGTGGGTCTACATACACATCAACATGTTAAATCTCATAGTTAATGGATCCTATTTGTGTTCAAATCAGATAATTGAATTAAATTATACTTTTTTTTTTTACTCTTTAGGTTTAAATTGTTGCTAACTTCTATAAGCGATGAAGAGGATTCTTGTCCCACAATTGAAATCACAGATGTTAAGTACAGCATTTTCCAGGTATGTACATTTCCTCCATACAGAATTCCTCAGCATTTCCCATTGGGTGAAAGGAAGTTTTTAAAAAGCCTGTCCAAACATTATGAATGTTGGAATCTGAGGATATTACTGCCTTGTTGTATCATAATATCAACTTTGTCAGCAAGTTCAGAGCTATCCTTAAAAGAGAACTCCGTCTTTATGGCCATGTTTCATGTTAAACCCATTTTTAGGGTGTAACATGAGTTATGGTCACAGCCCCCACTTACAGAATGCAGGGATTCATTATTTGATTTTGTTGCCGCTGTCTCACAGCTCCGCCGCACAACCACATCCTTCATTCCAGCATCTGTGAAAGCAAACAATACAAGTCCCATCTGTTGCAGTGGCATTGAACCTGTGATTTCAATGGTGCACAGATGCAGTGACGTTATCACACTTGTAGTCCATTGATACATCCTCCAGCCCAGTAACTGAACGTCTTTTTCTCTGGATGGGCCTATGTCTGGAGGAATAGTCTGCAGGAGCCACAGCACTGCACTGATTGCACCTGCAAGCCTTTGCAGACTCCAATGCAGCGAGTCAAAGCTGGCAATTCTTACATTGGTTCAGGTTGTGCCATACCTGCAGGATCCCCATAGGAGCTGTAAATTACTGTAATATAGTACAATGTTTCTCAACCTTTTTTCAGTCAAGGCACCCTTTAAAATTATGGACAGTCCCGAGGCACCTTTAAAATTAAACCCTCTAAAATGTGATGCCTCAAGACGGTCCATAATTTTAAAAGGGCACCCCAAGTTTTAAAATGTGAAAAAACTATTCTAATAGTTTTATATAACGCAGCAACATCCACACATGTAGGACACCCAACGTTAGAGGTGATTTATTCTTCTAAATCAAATACACTTCTGCAGACTGGTACTGACTAGTATTCCATTGTTTCTCTTCTCCATCAGTTTTTCTCCTGAGCTAATGTGACCCTGGCACTGATGGAGAGGGGCAGGGGAGGGTCAAACTAGGATGCTGTGCAGACAGCTGATATCCTCCTTATCAATGATGATGTCATTGGTTGTCAGGACGCTGGCGGCTAGAAGGTCGTAATGGTGCACAATGAAAACCTGTGGCTCTGTGTAACTAAAAGGCAGGCTTGTATACAAGTTTTGGGCAAGTTTTAGACATTTTGCCAAGTCACTCCTGAAGAAATCTCAAGGCACCTTAGGGTGGCTGGGCACCCTGGTTGAGAAAGGCTGGTATAGTAGGCACCACTAGTCCAGTGATCTCCACTAGCTTCCAGGTCCCAGGCAGTGACATCCTGATCTCCACCCACTGGCTTGTATACAAGTCTTGACCAAGTTTTAGACATTTTGCCAAGGGACCCCTGAAGAAACCTCAAGGCACCCTGGTTGAGAAAGGCTGGTATAGTAGGCACCACTAGTCCAGTAATCTCCACTAGCTTTCAGGCCCAGGCAGTGACATCCTGATCTCCACCCACTGGCTTGTATAAAAGTCTTGACCAAGTTTTAGACATTCTGCCAAGGGACCCGTGAAGAAACCTCAAGGCACCCTGGTTGAGAGAGGCTGGTATAGTAGGCACCACTACTCCAGTGATCTCCACTAGCTTTCAGGCCCAGGCAGTGACATCCTGATCTCCACCCACTGGCTTGTATACAAGTCTTGACCAAGTTTTAGACATTTTGCCAAGGGACCCCTGAAGAAACCTCAAGGTTGAGAGAGGCTGGTACAGTAGGCACCACTACTCCAGTGATCTCCACTAGCTTCCAGGTCCCAGGCAGTGACGTCATGATCTCCACCTTGCCTAATCAGAGATTGCTCTGCCTTCATTTACCGTAGAAAATGCAAAGCTGGGTATCAGTTTTGGGTGGAAGTGTTCTTCTTTTGTTGTCCTAGCAGAGTGTTATATGCTGGCAGATGCGTGAATGTGGGAATATTCAGAGACATTCGGACCCCCCACCCCTCCCCAGGATATATAGGTTTGCTGCTTTCCAAGAAATCAGACAATTCCACTACAAACATCCTGTTGGTGCTCCCAGGGCCAGAGAAGTGTAACTGTCTTCCCAGGCTGATGTCTTGGCTCGGTATCACTGAGCTCCCAGCTTGATGAAGAATACAGGCGTTCTCGCTGTCATGGAGTTATCAGTAGTGCGCTCGCTCCACACTCTCTTCCTACCTCCCATCCATTCACTTTTCCAGATGGAGCAGCTCAGGGGACACAGTAATTATCAGGCCAGTTCCCCCTTCCAGGTCTCAGGCTTCGGTTTCCATTTAACAAAGATGAACAGAAGAGCTAAAACATAGGGCAGGGGGATCTGGAGAAGAGATTCTGCCGATTGGTATAAACATTATGTACCCGGAGATAAATATCTGTCCTCTGCGAAACACAAACTGACAGAACGGTCAGAGCACTGCGACTAAACCAACAGCTGCAGGTTTAAACACAAGAACAAAAATGTCCATAGATGTGCTGCTGCATTCATTTTCTTTTGTTTCTTTATTTTCACCTGGTGATCCTGCCAGTAACAAAACCCTTTGGCGCTATATAAACTCAATGTAATGTAATGTAATGTAACACATTCCTGTCCTGGGGTGACAACACTCACTGTATGGTATTTATGCAGGAACAGTGCTGTCACCCTAGGACAGGAAGTGTTAACACTGCAGAAACACCCCCCCCCCCACACACACACACCCATCATAACATAGCAGGGAGTACAGGCAGATAGCACAGAAAGTTATCATGTCAAAAGATTTCTGGCGGGATCAACACAATTCATTTTAATATATAAAAGAGTATGCAGCGCTACTAATAATAATAATAAAACCAAATGAAAAAATCAAATACATATGTTGCACAATAGCATATGTAAAGATAACTCTCCATATTACGTGGTGAGATAAAGTGATTATGTGCAATTGTCCAAACAATCCATGATCAGGGATAACCGTGACTCTTGTGTTCTTGTGAATGTACAAATAATGCACTAACCAGATAGCGCATAAACTGCGCGTGGAGCAGGTTAGCCACTAGATGTCATCAATCCAGGTGTATTCATAAGCCATCCACCAGAAAAATCATCAGCGGGGGAGGGGGGAGTCACACATCACTCCAAACCAACAGGAACCTTCAAAAGCGGGCTCCCATGGAAATGATGAGCCCCAAAAAAGCTTCTGATAGTGTAGTATTTCTTTAATTAGCAAAATTTCAGCATGTACAGATAAGGGATAAAACTTACATCCGGATAAGATCTGGCCACCAGGGTGTCAGTCAGGATAGCCTTGTGGTATAAGTACACAGGTCAGGGGCACCTCTCTAACGCGTTTCGTGTAAATAACACTTCCTCAGAGGAAGGCTGGCTTAGGAATACACCTGGATTGATGACATCTAGTGGCTAACCTGCAGATGACATCTTCCTGGTATCACAAGTCCAGAGCACCAGGAGCGGGTCTTAATTGCTCCACGTTGCTGCAGTTTATGCGCTATCTGGTTAGTGCATTATTTGTACATTCACAAGAACACAAGAGTCACGGTTATCCCTGATCATGGATTGTTTGGACAATTGCACATAATCACTTTATCTCACCACGTAATATGGAGAGTTATCTTTACATATGCTATTGTGCAACTTATGTATTTGATTTTTTCATTTGGTTTTATTATTATTATTAGTAGCGCTGCATACTCTTTTATATATTTTCCACTGGGTTCCAAAGGTTACCTCTTATGCTAGCGGCTTTATATTCATGTTCCCAGCGCTCAATTACCATTTTATATACAATTCATTTTAAACTTATCAAACAGATTAAAAAAAAAATCTTCCAATGGTATATTTAGCAGAGAAAAGGGGAGTAAATAAAAGGAGGGAATTGTTCAGGTTTGTAGCTGCATTTGTTTTCTTTTATTCTCACCTGGTAATCCTGACAGTAACAACATTCCTGTCCTAAGGTGACAACACTCACTCATTGTATGCTGGACCAGCATTTTCATCCTAGGACTACAGAACACCTCCCCCTCTCCTCACCTCCTTAACATAGTGGGGAGGTGCTCCGTAGTTAAAAGGTTTGGACAGTGATAACAGTGCAGCACAGAAAGTTATCAGCACCCTGGATTTCTGGCAGCAACGATGGGCACGGGCTCCATCCCACTATTAACATAGCATGCTGAAAACACAGGCCTTCTCCCACCAGTCAGAATGTATGAAGACGTCCAGTAACACAGGCTGTAGTTTTCATACCCGGCTCCAATCTCTCAGCTCTCTGCTATTTGGATTAGATCTCATTAAAACCAAATTCGAAACAAACAAAAAAAAAATCCATGTGGCTAAAATGCTACTAGTCCAAGTGCAAACGGTGTTTTTAGAGGTAAGGGGTCAGTCCTGGTACTTTAGTGTTTGGCATTAAATCCCAACTACAGCCCCCCCCCCCCCTTCGTGACTGCTGCTCGTAAAATTATTATCTTTCTGTGTATGTGTAGCCGAAACCTTTGTTTTGGGTGGAATATAGAAGACCGCAAGAAATTAACACTGGGGTGGATTTCCCTTCACTTCCTGTCCCAGAGACACAACTGGAAGTTAGGGGAAATTTCCCAAAATGAGGGGAATTCACCTTTCAGACATTTGTACACACATTGGGAGATTTCCTCTCTCTCCGTACTCTTGGGAAAACTAAAATTTGGGATTTTCTTTTTCAGACATTGATCAACAGTACAAATAAAGGGGGTGAATCTCCCCAGTGGGGACACAGACAGCAATAGAAACTTGATAAAGCGTTTAAGCCCTCCCCACTCTATCTAAAACTTAAAGAAAAAGGTTTTACTTAGAGATACTCTTTAACCCCTTGGGGCTGGAGCCACCCGGCCCTTTAAGGTGGGAGACGGGGCGGGATTTAGGGTCGTGTGACCGCCTTGACACACCTTCACGGCAGTCATATGATCGGGAAAGGTCCCGATTGAAAGAGGAGATTGGGACCTTTCCGTGAGTACCAGGCGTGTGCTGAGAGCGCACACATATGTTTTTCTTAATTGCACGCAAATGTGTGCACCGCTCGGCGTCAAGGCCGACACTGGGAGGCCGCACATTTGCGAGCGGCCGGCGCCAAGAGGTTAATATTTGCCTTTTCTGAAATGTTTCCAGTAATGTTAGAAAGGTTGTGAGAACCACAATCGGGCTCAGGGTAGGATTTCTGCTGCTGTTCCTAATTTTGAGATATGGATTGCGTGCACGCCGGAAAATAATTACGCGGACAACTGTCCAGTACAACTACCTTCACATCATCTCTGTTTATTGCAGGGCGGTGCTTAACCTTTTATACATAGAGAACAATAGAGTATACGTCACTATTACGTAAATACAGTCACATTCTAAAAGGCACATTTTTCTTGGCTGAAATATGGGAGAAATGTAGAAACTTGAAGCTTGCTTCTTGTCCCATTATCTTTTTCACTCCCCCTCACATACTCAAAGCCCAAGTATAAGGTCCTCTCAGTGCGAAGGGAGGGGTTGAAAACATCGCTCTGAGCAAAACAAGTTAAGGAGGACTGCAAAGCCCAGCAGACAAAAATATATACGCACAACACATATATTTAGAAATATGAAAAAGTATAAAATATATATTTTAAACAGGAAACAGAATAGGCATTTTACCAAATCCATCACAATGTGACACTGCAGGGTCCTCCTCTTCTCTGGACTCATCACGGGTCCATAATGATGCAGGGCACCAGCCTTTGCAGCACTGTAAATAAAGAGCACCTCTATGACCCTCAGCGTTGTGACGCCCAGCACTCACAGTATGTCCTCAGTCTACCAGATTGAGGGATGCTGGACATCTTCCAACCCAGGAGACTGAGGATATCTTGTGGCCAGCAGGAGGTATTGATGTACTGTGGACATGGGGATTATGTCAAGGAGATCTCTCTACTGGAGTATCCATGACATATAAATGGAGCCTGGTGGGCTAAGCCAGTCCGTTTTTTTTGGAATGACGATAACCCCTAGGATGGACTAGCATCTAAAGGGCGGCCATCATTGGTGGAGAGCCGGATTCTGGATATTGTACAGTTTGGAGGATAGCTAACTGCCCTGTTTTCCTCCTGCAGATGATAATGCAGTATTTATACTATGGCGGTACAGAATCCATACAAGTGCCCATGTCTGCTGTTCTGGAGGTAAGAATATATGTTGGATTTATTAGTAGGGTACTGACTTTACCTCTTCAAAGAACCAGTACACTAAGTGATGGCTGCTAATAACCTAGAAAATAATGCATGTAAAAATGTCTCCTAGATTGTAAGCTCCAAGGATCAGGACCGTCCTAACATTCTTGTATTGAACTGTATTGTCTCCCATTATATTGTAAAGCGCTGAGCAAACTGTTGGCGCTATATAAATCCTGAATAATAATAATAAATGTGACATCGGTAGAGTAAATGTTCTATACAATGTCAGGACACACGAGGGCAGGGAAGGGATCGGCTTCCAGAAGAGTTCCATGCAGTTGATTTGGGGGTGAATTGCTTTTCTCTCTAAGCATGTGTGATGGCCCTTTATTTCTATTCCAACTTATGCCCCTCATACACGTATAGAATATCGGCCAAAAATGTTCGTTTTTGAAAAGATCGTTTGACATATGTGCTGTTAGTGGACTCAACTTTACAGCAGATTTCGAAAGTAGGCCCGGCTAATGTCGATGGATCCGAAGTGAAAACTTTCATCGTTTCAACCAAAGTGTATACGTTTGTGGTAATCGAAACAACAAATCCCCCGTCTAGTCTTGCCCATGTCTTTTGGTGAACTGGAAGAAGAATCTTTGAATGAATTTTATTCTATGTGTTTAGTGGACAAGTCGTTGTCGAGAGACGAATAGTCGTTCGCATTGTAAACAACCGATATTATATATGTCTATGGCCAGCCTTAGAAAAGCAGGGAGAGTCTTTTCCTATTAAAGAAAAACTCCACTTTGATAAAAGAAAAAAATGGTTTATTGTAAATAACTGCTACATAGGCTGTTCTGTAACAGAAAATTATGACCGATTCTGTCCATTCCTATCTGGAGGCATTCTGTGTACTGTTCTTGTATACAATAGCCCCAGAGAAGTCATTTCCCGCTCATGCGATTATAGCAGGCATATCCTTGTACTTGTTTTAGTTTCACAAAGTTATTGTAATGGGCGGACTCAGTATTTCCAGAACAGAACAGGTGAGGATCTGCAAGAAGGAGCAATATGGGGTTATGAAAAAAAAAAAAACATCCATCCATACTCACCTCTATGGTGCAGCATTCCCATTTTGGCTCTTAAGACTGAGAACTGAACAGTCACATGACTGCTGATCGCTCAGTTCTTGGTCTGCTTGGAGTGGACCCCGCTCATTCCTGCGCTGATTGGATATCCAACAGCAGAATGGGGAGGGCTGCAGACAGGCCACGCAGGACCTACAGGTATGCCTTGAAAATAAACATTTTTTAAAGGCTAAGTTTACCTTTTTGTACAAAAAAAAAAAAAAATAATAATAAATGTATGTTTTTGTAGGTAAAAAAAAGTGCATTTATTTATTTATTTTTTTTTTTTTTACTCTACAGCCTGTTCTGCTCATGGGTGCATTGTCAGGATCCTGTAGACTCTTAGTCAACTGTCTGCCTGTACCTCCCATATGGGCAGACAGTTGCTGAAGTCCAAGAAGAATCAATGAACTATGCGAGTGCTCAACAGTGCCCTCACAGTTCACTGAGACCTACAAGCCGTCAGCTGTAATGGTAAATGGGACTTGTCGCTCATTCATGTGAATGAAAGACATGGCTGTGTGGGTGGAGTCTGCTGTTGTTGAATTGGGACAGTGGGTGTGAAGAAAGATCCCAAACCTGCATCAATAAAGATGTTTGTAAACAAAAGATCCCAAACCTGCATCAATAAAGATGTTTGTAAACAAAAGATCCCAAACCTGCATCAATAAAGATGTTTGTAAACAAAAGATCCCAAACCTGCATCAATAAAGATGTTTGTAAACAAAAGATCCCAAACCTGCTGTCACAATGAGGGATCGGGAGGGGAGATGCAGGCAGGTGGCGCTGTGGTAACATAAAACACTCTAAATATGGAGGTGAACTTGCCCTTTCCCTCATGAATACTGCTTTTGTATAACATATTAGAGAAGCTGGAATGCATTGGTTGTTTTTTTTTTTTTTTTAATGGAAAGGTGAACTAACCCTTTTAGCTGCCTGCATGTGGCACCTACCCGCCCCTTGCGGTAAGCACAGGGATGTGTTTGGTTTATCATGATTGTATAACTGATATCCTCTAATCTTGGCTCTACTGACGTCATCTGTAATTTCAATACTGGGGGTTACGTTTCTTGTGTGCTGCCGTTTCAGCTCCTGTCTGCAGCAAGCCATTTTCAGCTGGACGCTCTGCAGCGACACTGCGAGATCTTGTGTTCCCAGAACGTCGACACCAACAACTGCGTCAGCATTTACAAGTATGCCAAGGTGAGGCGAGGATGGCTTTCACATTCCTTAACATAACCTTCCTATGTTCCATTTGTGTTTTATATTGCACATTATTTGTACAGGGGAACATCACCCTTTCATAAAGCCCCAAAGAGAAAACCATGTATGTGAAGGGAGACGCATTATGAGTGTTTTCAGGGTCATTTTTGAAGTGACATTTTGGACCTGTACAGGTTTATCCTTTCATATTTGTGTTATCGTATGAAGAGTAGAAATGTGCAGAATAGCCATTAATAAAGGGAGATTAGATTGGTCACAATATTGCCCAAAAGGTTGCCATCCACAGCTTGCATTTCAGCTGATTTCTGCTAAATGTGGAGCGGTGGGTGCCCATGTCAGCACCACCCAGCCTGATGAAAGTGGATTGTTTAATTAACATTTGTTCAAGGAGCAGGGTGGAAAATTGGCAGCCGAACAGCATCTGCATCTGAGCAGAGCCAGGTAATGTTCAAGTCTGCCGACAGCTGCTGGTGCTGGCTGTCAGAATACAATGGGGGGAGATTTACTGAAACTAGAGCACTCCGAATGTGGTGCAGATGTGCATTGTAGCCACTCAGCTTGTTCAATTAAGTTTTGAAAATAAAATAGGGAAGCAGATTGGTTTCTTGCAGAACTGCGTAGGTTTTGCACTCTCAAGTTTTAGTAAATAACCCCCAATATCCATCGGGGAAGATTTGTCCGTCTACAATGTTTAGTATAGAAGCCCAACAGATTCCTACTGAGTACTGCTCAGCCAATCACAGAGTTTTGTATTCTACAAATAATACAGCTTCCTCTGACTGAGGAGGAGAGGTGGGCAGATGACATTAGAATCTCAGCCCCAGGAAGCTTTGTATTCATTTGTATAATACAAATGATTGAGAGACTCAGCCCGGCTCAATTCCCCAGTCCCCCCCCCCCCCCACCCCAAGAGCAGGCTTTTCCCTGTTTATATATGATAAGCTGTGATTGGACACAGCTGATCACATGACCGAGCCGACATCTTCGGCTCTTTCCGTGGATCAGTGATCTGCTGTGTCCCAGGGACACAGCGCACCGCTGATCGCTGAGCATGCGCGGTTAGAATAGGAGGTCGTCATATGACATCCTCCCAGAACGAGAGAACCGCCTTGCGTCCGTCATTTTACTATATGGCGGGCAGGAGGCGGTTAATGTCAGTGGCAGTTAGTTCCCCCCCAGCATCAGATTAACCACTGCACTCTCGTTATAAGTTGCTGATCACCGCCATTAGGAATATAAAAACAAAATCCACTATACAGGTGAAACTCGAAAAATTTGAATTTCGTGCAAAAGTTCATTTATTTCAGTGCAGCAACTTAAAAGGTGAAACTAATATATGAGATAGACTCATTACATGCAAAGCAAGATAGTTCAAGCTGTGATTTGTCATAATTGTGATGATTATGGCTTACAGCTCATGAAAACCCCAAATCCACAATCTCAGAAAATGAGAATCATGTGAAAAGGTTCAATATTCTCGGCTCAAAGTGTCCCACTCTAATCAGCTAATTAAGCCATAACACCTGCAAAGGGTTCCTGAGCCTTTAAATGGTCTCTCAGTCTGGTTCAGTAGGAATCACAATCATGGGAAAGACTACTGACCTGACAGTTGTGCAGAAAACCATCATTGACACCCTCCATAAGGAGGGAAAGCCTCAAAAGGTAATTGCAAAAGAAGTTGGATGTTCCCAAAGTGCTGTATCAAAGCACATTAATAGAAAGTTATGTGGAAGGGAAAAGTGTGGAAGAAAAAGGTGCACAAGCAGCAGGGATGACTGCAGCCTGGAGAGGATTGTCAGGAAAAGGCCATTCAAAAGTGTTGGGGACTTTCACAAGGAGTGGACTGAGGCTGGAGTCAGTGCATCAAGAGACACCACACACAGACGGATCCTGGACATGGGCGTCAAATGTCGTATTCCTCTTGTCAAGCAGCTCCTGAGCAACAACAACGTCAGAAGCGTCTTACCTGGGCTAAAGAAAAACAGACCTGGTCTGTTGCTCAGTGGTCCAAAGTCCTCTTTTCTGATGAGAGCAACTTTTGCATCTGATTTGGAAACCAAGGAACCCGAGTATGGAGGAAGAATGGAGAGGCCCAAGGACCCAGAGAATGGAGAGGCCCAAGGACCCAGAGTATGGAGGAAGAATGGAGAGGCACACACTGCAAGATGCTTGAAGTCCAGTGTGAAGTTTCCACAGTCTGTGTTGATTTGGGGAGCCATGTCATCTGCTGGTGTTGGTCCACTGTGCTTCATTAAGTCCAGGGTCAACACAGCCGTCTACCAGGAGATTTTGGAGCACTTCATGCTTCCTTCCGCAGATGAGCTTTATGGGGATGCTGACTTCATTTTCCAGCAGGACTTGGCAACGGCCCACACTGCCAAAAGCATCAAAACCTGGTTCAATGACCGTGGGATTACTGTGCTTGATTGGCCAGCAAACTCGCCTGACCTGAACCCCATAGAGAATCTATGGGGCATTGCCAAGAGAAAGATGAGAGACATGAGACCGAACAATGCAGAAGAGCTGAAGGCCGCTATTGAAGCATCCTGGTCTTCCATAACACCTCAGCAGTGCCACAGGCTGATAGCTTCCATGCCACGCCGCATTGAGGCAGTAATTGCTGCAAAAGGGGCCCAAACCAAGTACTGAGTACATATGCATGCTTTCTACTTTTCAGAGGTCCGATATTGTTCTATGTACAATCCTTGTTTTATTGATTGCATGTAATATTCTAATTTTCTGAGATTGTGGATTTGGGGTTTTCATGAGCTGTAAGCCATAATCATCACAATTATGACAAATCACAGCTTGAACTATCTTGATTTGCATGTAATGAGTCTATCTCATATATTAGTTTCACCTTTTAAGTTGCTGCACTGAAATAAATGAACTTTTGCACGATATTCTAATTTTTTGAGTTTCACCTGTATATACACACCAAAGTTTGTAGACGCTATAACTTTCACACAAACCAAGCAATATACACTTTTGTTTTTTTTTATACCCAAGAAATTTATGAAGAAATTAGATTTTTTTTTTTTTTTTAATATTTTTCTTTTTTTTTTATTGGATGTGTTTTGTAGCAGAAAATAAAAAGAAAATTTCATTTATATGCAAAAAAATGAAAACCCCAGTGGTGAAAGAAAGCTCTATTTGAGAGAAATAAATTATATAAATTTTGTCTGGGTACATTTTGTCTTGCATGACCATGAATTGCTAGTTAAAGTAGCACAGTGATGAATAGCTTTTTTTTTGACTTGGTCACAAAGGGGGTAAAAGTGGTTAAAGTCAATTTTTTTTGTGTGTTTGGTTGTAGCAGTCGGCCTTAACCAGTGTTCTCTCATTCAGGTCCACAATGCCTCCGAACTGGCGCTGTTCTGCGAAGGATACTTCCTACAAAACATGAGGACGCTGCTGGAGCAGGAATCCTTCAAGCAAATCATCTGCGGACGTAACAGCAAAGTGCAGGGATTGGACATTCTGATGGACTTAAAACACACACTGACCAATCGGATCAAGGACATTTACATATCTTGTCGGGGTGTGAGAGTCATGGGCAGTCCAAGTGATGTTGGTCTTCATAATGGGACAATGTGGGTGTTGAGCGACTCCGCCAACATTGGGGCCGAGTTGTATGTATGTTTTTGTAGATAGGCATTGCATATATTTGTATAAAGTTGTTCCCCCCCCCCCCCCCCAGGAGTGAGGGCTCTGCTCCATGTGCTTTGTGAAAGATTACAGCCGGAATCTCCCAGGATTAATTGTACAGAAACATGGCCGAAACTCTAGTAATTGTTCATTCACGGGATATTTCTGGTAGCAGAAGGTTGCACATATAGCAGAGCCCCTGGGGGTATGTACTTATGTTGGGGGGGGGGGGGGGGTGCTCACCTAGCCAATACAAAAGCTTCACACACATCCCAATGCTTTCCGGTGGGGCCTGTCCAATAAGGTCACAGCGTGTGTTGGACAACACAGGAATCAGCAGCACCCTATGGAAACACAAGGATGTGTCTGTAACGGCACCATGGCTTTGGTGTAGGACGAGGTGGAGCGAGCGCTCCACTGCAAAGGGGTGTACAAACCTTAATGACAGAAAACACAAAATTACCTTTGGCCAAGTCTAAGCTGGGTCTAGAATGACAAAAGACTGTTACGTTTTAAAGGACAAAGCATAAATAAACCCAAAAACAAAAATGTAATATATTGCAGCTAAACCACCCTGAGATCTTGTGGGTGCATTTTAACATTAAGATTTTCAACAAGTACTGAAAATACTTCTTGATCCTGCCAGGAATTCAGTGTCCTTACTGCTTCCTGTGAGCTTAAAGCACAGACAATGTTTCCTCCACGGACAGTGGAGGAGTGAGTGATGTCACCCAGCAACAGGAAGTATGTTCTTCAGGTTAGAAGAAAGAAAACAAATGCAGCCGCAGGGTCTAAGGACTGTTACGCAGCAATAGATTACATTTTTCATATGCTTTAGCCTGGGTTTACACTTGTATAGTGTGACTTATCGCATGCGATTCGCACAGGAACCGCACTGCACTCCTGTGCAAATCACATGTGAATTCTGTGCGGTGCGATTTAAGCCATACATTTTGTATGGGTCAAATCGCACCAAAAAAGGTACAGGACCCTTTTTTTTGGTCTGCACTACAATCAGATAGCATGGGTATTCACACCTATGCGATCCAATTCTGCACATCGCACTGCGCTTTGCGGACCGATTTCGGGGTGTTAACATACACACCCGCATCGGTTCACATGAACGGGGTGCGATTGTGATGCGGTGCGGAATTCGCACTGAAAACGCTGGGAATTCTGCACCGCATCAGTGTGAACCCGGGCTGAAGGTAAACTTTTCTTGAAAGAACTGTTGGCGGCTCAGTATGACAGCCAGGATTGTCAGAATGAAAAGTGCGTGCTGCCCACCTCCATGCGTCTTTCAGGCTGCGGCCTGTACTAATAAATGCTGACACAATACAGTGTGCAGGTATTGGGTGCAGTGACTATCATGATCCAACACCCCTCCTCTTTCCTCCGGGGGAAAAAAAAAAAAAAAAAAGATGGGTCAGGATAATTGTAAGGATCCAATCATTACAGCTTGACCGATCGCACAGTTGTGTCAGCAAAGTTTATTAGGTCAGCCGTGTCCTTGTAAAGGGCACCTGTCAGGACAGCCGTGGCTACCGTCCTGCACTGCAAGCATCCACTGGTGACTCCCAGAAGCTATGCTAGTTCCAGGGCTGAGTTGACCTCTTCTCACACTGCGATGTGCCCGCTGGAACCAGTACCACTTCCCGGATTCTGCAGGATCTTGCACTGCCCCTTCAGTGTAGCCCAGCTGGCCTCTCACCTCCCCTAGAATAACAGCACAGCGTTTGCACCTTATAGAGCACCTGAATGATGTGCATTACAGGAGTGGATATCTAGTGTGTGATTGGCAGATTGTAATTACCAAACCGGAACAGGTTTTGTTCTAAAAGAAACACAGCTAGAAAATATCGATCAAAAAAAAAGAAAAACAGTTTTTTATTGGACTAAAGTTTGATGCCAATTTTTATACCGATGTAATGTTCCACAAAATCACATTTATAGACAGACAATAAAAACAAATGTGTAAAGGTGAACCTTCGAACAAAATATTCTGTACAAGTTGAAAGTGGTGAGAAAAATTATGCGAGTAAATGCAAGAAGCAGCCAATCCAATTGCTCTCATAACAAGGAAAAGGGGGGAATTCTGGCAGGATGCAAAGCAGATTGATGTGAGCAGCCGATCCTCAAAGTGGAATTAAACTCATTTAAAAAGAAATGTCAGAGAACCTCTCAGCAGTCATCTACACTCAGCTTCTTCAGACTATATTTACAGCATGCTCTGTGCTGCGTTGAAGTGACTCCTGTGTGCATGCGTTGGTGCAACGTCATCATTACTGTGCCATTCAAGTGGCCAAACAAGAAACCGCAAAGGAAGACCGAGAGAAGACGGAAGCACCCAGGACCAGCTGGAATGCCGGATGGCTTTGTTTGCCATATTGTGCTAATAAGCGGTGCACACCAGCACATCATGGCCTGAACCTCCTGGGGCCCCAATGCATATTCTTTATGGTGCAGGGAGTAGATTTAGTACACTGTTCCAGAGCAACTATATCAACACCCCAGTCATGGAATATCTGCTTCTATCACAGCTGAGCCCCATAGGTGTCGTGTGCAATAGTCTTCATCTTCCTGCTGCATTTCTGTTATGGGGAGGTTGTAGAGGCCTCCTGGGGGTGGAGGGAGGGTTGTAGAGGGCTCCGGAGGGGGAGGTTGTAGAGGACTCCTGGGGGGTAGTTGTAGAGGGCTCCTGCAGGGGGGTGGGTTTTAGGGGAGGTTGTACAGGACTCCTGGGGGGGGTGTGGGGGAGGTTGTACAGGACTCCTGGGGGGGGGTTGTAGAGGGCTCCTGGGGGAGGTTGTAGAGGACTCCTGGGGGGAGGTTGTAGAGGGCTCCTGGGGGGTAGGGGGCAGTTGTAGAGGACCGGGGGGGGGGGGGGGGGAGGTGTTGTGTAGAGGACTCCTGCAGGGGGGGGGTTTTAGGGAGCAGTTCTAGAGGGCTCCTGGGGGGGGGGGTTTTAGGGGAGGTTGTAGAGGGCTCCTGCAGGGGGGTGGGTTTTAGGGGAGGTTGTAGAGGGCTCCTGCAGGGGGGTGGGTTTTAGGGGAGGTTGTACAGGGAGGGTGTTATAGAGGGCTCCTGGGGGGGGGGGGGGGGGGGGGGGTAATGTTGTAAAGGGCTCCTGTCCTGCAGGGGGGGGGTTTAGGGGAGGTTGTAGAGTGCTCCTGAAGGGGGGGGTGGGGAGCGAGGTTGTAGAGGGCTCCTGCAGGGGGGGGGGGGGGTTGGCTCCGGTTGTGCATACAAGGTGTTAAATCAAATATGGCATCTAGAGATCCCTTACAAACTGTGTTCACGATTGGCTGCCAGAGATCACATGGGATGAACACACCTGAAGTGTCTCTGGGGATCCCGACTGACTGCAGTTTCTCACAGTCTAACATTGGACAGAAAACATACAATACAGAACAATCAAGCCAATAAGAGCAGCAAACTCTGCCATGTTACTTCATGACAAGGTGCGCTTATCCTTCAGCTTTGTACAGCCTCCCTATATACAGTTCTCTGGGTCTATACACAAGGCACATATAGAGGCGCACACACCTCAGCTATATACAGAATCACCAAGCATTGAGCCTAGTAATAGTCCTCCCTCCAGTACCTCCTGTCTGCTGCAGGTACCAGGATAATGGCCTCCTTGCGGTGATTTACAGGACGATCGCCGCACATCCCTCATACATCCGCATTGCCTGGACTGATCACTTTCCAAACTTCTGCTTCTTGTCTTTGTTTTTTTTTCAGCTTTTTCTGGAACTTCCCCCCACTCTTCTCCGGCTGGTCAAGTTTCCGTTTCTTATCGCTGAAAGGATCAATTGTAGAACATTACCAGGATCTGTGACATGAGCTCACAGCCTTCAAATGGCAGCTGCTAGGGGGCTTGTTTACAGGGGTTTCACCTTCAGCAGAAGTGTGTACAGTATTTGTGAAATTTGACATTTTGTAAAAGCATGCGGTAAACCAGTGGTCTCCAAACTGCAGCCCTGCGGAGCCACACTCCATGGGTGCATGGACATACAGAGCGGCAGCATGGAAGCGATCCCGCTCAGGTGCCCCCATAGCAAGCTGCGTGCTTGGGCAAAACTAAGCAGGTGGGAGGGGCCAGGAGCGCCAGCAGAGGACACCACCTCTGTGCACACCACTGCACAGAGCACGTACATATGACATGTATATTATTTAAAAAAGAAAATCTGCCTTTAATATCACTTTAAAGGAAAAGTATAGGCTGCCATCGGTCCTCTCCTTCATAAAATGGCCTTGCCTGTCATGCTAACCCATCAACAAATGAGTCATTGACCCAGAACAAGCATACAGTCCTGATCTCATTAGCTGCATGATGTTCTTGGTTGGGAAGAACTGAAGATAAAGGATTATCAGGGCAACAAGGCCACTAGCATTTCAGGAAAAGTAAAGCAGCATGGCGCTTCTAATTTGCTAGGCACGGGACATCTTTAAAATTGTTGTTTTCAAATCAATGTGTATGCTTGTTTAATCACTTCCCATCCACCCTATAGCAGATATACTACTACAGGGCGGCACGGGTGCGCAAAATCACGTGTATATATACACATGATTTTGAATTTCCGGGCAGGGGGCGTATGCGAGGTGCACCCTACACGCGCCACCATGGCTGTCAATCACCGGGTCCTGGCTGGTGATTACTCTCCGGCGCCCAGTGATTGCCCAGCATCTCCAACAGGGGGAGAACTGTTTGTAAACAGTTCTCCCTGTCAGCTCCTGCACACTGCTTTTGATGGCTGTACACAGCACAGCCATGCAAAGCAGTGTGCTTACAATGAAGTACACAGACAGTCCAAAGTAAAACAGCACACAGTTAACCCTTTGAACGCCTACTTGTTAACCCCTTCCTGCCCAGTGCCATTAGTACAGTGTCAGTGCTTTTTATTATTAGCACTGATCACTGTATTGGTGCCAATGGGGATGTCAGTGACACAAAGTCAGCTCCCCCCAGTGTCAGAATGTTTGCCGCAATCCGCTATAAGTCG